AAATATGACAAGTAGTCAAATCTACATAGTTCTTGAAAACTGAATTCACAAGATTTAGAAGATCAGTTGGTTGTTGCAAGACAAAGGCAAGACCAACTGTAAGACTGTTAAACTTGGACGGCTAGGACAGCTTTGTCATTTATAGAATGAGGAAGGACTGCCTAGAGAACAGATTTTTCAGAGGAGCGCATATAGAGACATACCTATTAGCGTCACATAGAAATGTTGAATGATCAGATAAAGATACAACTTTGGCGTGTTCCCCAGGGAGACTGTCGGCTATAGCTATAAATGTAGGAATCTTCAGCATACAGATATCACTTACGGTCATGATGTGTGAGATCACCAAGTAACTAGTGCAGGCTGCAAAGAAGAGAGGCCGTCCAGGAACTGAGCCCTGGGCCTACCAGTGTTAAGAAGGAGAGAGCTGAGTTACAACCCCCTAAGAGACTGAAAAGGAAGGATCAGCGAAACAGGAGGAAAACAAGGAGAATGAGGTGTCCTGGAAGCCAACTGAAGCAAAATGTTTTTAGAAGGAGGTGATCGACTTTGCCGTGATGCTGATAATTAATGTGAATGCTGAAACTTGATGTTGCCCTCTGCAATGGGATGGCCATTCTGTGACCTTGCCAGGAGCAGTCAGTGAAGAGAGAAGGGCAAAAGGAGAGGAATCGGAGGCCGGGAGCAAAGGGAACAACTGCTTTGGGTAATTCTAACAGTTGTATTTAAATAGCAACTACAGCTAGTATCATAAGTGAATATAGTTAAAAGTTTTGAAAAGCCAGTTAGTGTTTCACAGATGCTAACTACAGTGTATACTAATATTAATATATTTTAGGTGTATTAACTGCAGATCTATTATATCCCTGTGTAAAACAAACTATCAAGGCAAGAAGTTCCTCTCGGCAGGGAACCGGGCATGGTGGTACACGCCTGTAATCCCACCACTCAGGAGGCTGAGGCAGGAGGATCGATGTGAGTTCAGGACCATTATAGGCTACAAAGTGAGCTCAAGGACAGTCTGAACTTCATAGTAAGACCCTGTCTCAAAAAAGACTAAATAAATAATAAAAAAGAAGATCCTCTCTATGCCTAATTTCAGGTTTTAGCATTTTTTTCAAAATATGTGTTATTTTCTATTGAAATGGTCCTAAGCGTTGTTAGAGTATGTGGATAGATTTTTCTGGTGCTGGACCATTCTTTCATTTTTAGAAGATATCCTATGTGGTCACATAGGGTTTTATTATTTCTAGTTTAGTTTTGTGTTACTTAAAAATAATAGGTTTGTTACATTTTATTTTAGATTGATTGACTTTTAATTGTGCTCTTTGTTCAGTTTGAGTGCCAAGGTTTTGACAGCAGAATAAAATAAGTTGAATACATGTACCTCTTCCTGTTTTCCCATCCAAGTACTAACCAGGCCTGACCCCGCTTAGCTTCTGAGACCCAACGAGATCGGGCGCATTCAGGGTGGTATGGCCGTAGACGTCTTCTTGTTTTCTTACATACTTGTTATATGAGAAGACTGCCAGGGAAGCTATTTTTGAAAGAATCTGAGCTTTGGTGTCCCTTCTAAGAATGAAACAATTCCTTCAATAGTTATTAGCTTATTTTTTATTGCTTGAGTCAAATTTGGTAATTTTCTTTTCTGGGAAATTACTATCTCATGCATCTTTTTAAATATGTTGCCATCAAGAAGCTTAATGTGATCTTTTTAAAAAATTCTATTATAATTGTACCATCTTGATGCTCCTATATCACTAATGTTCGTTGTTGTTGTTGTTGTTGTTGTTAGACAGGGTTTCACTGTGCAGTTCAGGCTGGCCTTGAGCTCACTGTGCAGCCCAGCTGGCTTTAAACCCACAGTGATCCTCCTGCCTCAGCCTCCTGAGTGCTGGGATTACAGGTGTGTGCTGCAACACCCAGCTATTCTGTCTTTTCTTGATCCATTTTGCCATACATTTGTCTTCTCAGTAAGTTTTTGGAAAGAACCAACTTTTTACTTTATTCTCTCTCTATTACTAACTTCATTGAAACACTTTTATTTCCTTTGATTTCCTTTGGATTTACTGTTTCTTTAAATTAAAATGTTTTGCATTGCATTATATAAGAAGATACAATGTCAACTTGTCCCACTATTAATGATGTTAGGTTTGATCATTTTGGTTAAAGCAATAACTGTTACTTGACATTTCCTGTAGATTTGAATTTTTTAGTGTTTTATAATCAATTACAATAGCCAGGTGTGGTGGTGCACACCTGTAATCCCAGCACTCAGGAGGCTGAGGCATGAGGATTGCCATGAGTTCAAGGCCAGCCTGACCTACAAACCAAGACCCTGTCTCTAAAGATAATAATAATAATAATAATAATAATAATAATAATAATAATCAATTACAGTACTTTTTGATGCTCATAGTTTCCCATATGTGGCTAGTGGGAATTCTTTCCAACTGCCCTTTATGTCTGTTGACATGTCTCTGTTAATCTTTGAGCATTTCCTTTCTGGTATAAGATTTCTGCAAGCTTACCTTATACCCTTTCTGTGCTACACTTGGAATTAGCCACTTATTAATGACACTGTCTCAACTAACAGACTCTCCAGTGTCTTTCCTCCATACCATTTTTTGTCTCTAGAGTTCAATATTGTTTGTCATCATAAAATTACACGTTCTGCTTTTCTGTTTCAGAACAGCTTTCATTGTTTCTAACAGTGTTACAGTGGGCCACTTGGAAGGGAGACAACAGTGCCATCTTTTGCCCCTGACAGTGTGATATTACACATGTGACCTTCCTAAATTTCTTTAAGCTGTCAGAAATCCTGTTGCTTTCAGACTTATTTTGGTTCACGTAAGCTCAGTGTACTTCGATTTTTGACAGAAAAGAAGTTAACCAGAAACGTAAATTTAAGAGAACCATTGTTGAGCCCAGCGCTTTTGCCTTTAGCTCAGCGTTGGCCACGGTCCTCAGTAAGAGTGGTCTTCAGCGGTGCCAGAGCCTAGCTCCGTGACCTGGAGTGTGCCAGAAGCTGCAGGGAAGCAGAGAAGGGAGCCTTTCCTAGCTGTGCAGGTACCTGTGGTGATTACAGAACAGGCAGGCCTCTATCTAGAAATGAGAAGACATGTGCTATTTCTGTTACGGATTCAAGCTTGATTCCTAGTAATCTTCTGAGTCATAATATCATGTTTTCCTTTGGGTGATAATAGGAATTATTGCCAAAAATATTTTGCCTCTAAATATCAACCATAAGTATTATAGAAATAATTTTTTAAAATAAAAACTAAACATACAGCCTCTACTATTTGAACTTCAAACAATTACTTTAAAAATTAACTGTATGAGCTGAGCACATGTAGCTGTGTGCTACACACCTGTAATCCCAGCCCTCTGGAAAGCTGACACCTGAGGATGATGAGTTCAGCGCCAGCCCGAGCAACTGAGCAAGACCTTCTCTCAAAGTAAATAAAATAGGAGGGCTGGGGATATATCCCGGAGTGAAGGCCCTAAATTCAATCCCCAGTTCTAAGAAAAAAATTATTTTTTAACTGCATGATTAGAAGTAAAGGCTGGCTGATTGAGACCACCGTAACAACCATTACTGATAACGTGAATCTAACCCAAATCATTAAAGTGTTCCAAGAATAATAAAAGGAAAAACTGTTAAAATGCTTGTTTTCCATTTAATCCATTCTGATGACTTTTCTGTTATTCTTGTTTTAGATTGTAAACTCTTTGTAACTAGATTTATCACTTACATTCTCTACAGTGTAAAGTGTCATGGACACACTTGTGCAGTAGATAAGTATCAGCTGTCCGAGTTCCATACCAAAGGCTCAGTTCCCTGTCTGGCACGAATCACTGGACAGTTGTCATCTTTGGCAGAAAACTACAGTCAAAAGTCTTGGCTAGAATTGTTTTGCTTAAATAAGGCAAACCAGTGGAATATTGAATTAGTGAACTTGGTTTTATCGTGGAGGTTTCTCTTACACAAATTGCAATGATTTATGTAGAAATCACCTGAAGCTTTTAGCTAATTAGATACTCCCTGTACAACACAATATGCTAATATACCCTTCTTCTATATCTTTATCCACCTTCATTAATTTTCTCTTTTTTTTTATAAATAATTTTTTTTCCTTAAAAATGAATATTTGTTTTATAAGGTATACTTTCACTGTTCAGTCTGCTAAACAAAACAGTTGTTTTGGTGGTTATCCCCACAAGTAAAGAAAATTACGGTTAATATAGTAGGATACTTTTATCATAACTCTGGCTGTGAATAAAATATTAGTCAACATCTATGAGGAAAGATAATGTCTTCCTCTTCCTTTGCTGTTTCCCACCTTTCTGAAGCTGTTTCAGTACTTATAAAATTCAGTAGGCTTTTTTTAACCTCTCATTCCTATTAAATATTTACAAGCCCACAGGATTTCCTTTCCTCCTTGAAAGTATATAACTCTTATGATATTTTTGGGCATTCTCCGGATCATCTTAGTACTTCTGTATCTTAAGGACTTATCCATTTGAAATAATAGTATAATCATCACGTGTGTATCTTATTTTATTTGCTTACTTTTTTTAATGAAAAAGAGATCATTTTATTGATGAGTTGAGGAAAAAGCGTTTAAGCCAGGCATGGTAGCACATACCTGTTGTCCAGGCTACATAGGAGGCCGAGACAGGAAGATTGTGCGTTCCAGGCCAGTCTAGACAACATCTAGATGTTGTCTAGATGCCATCTCAAACAAAAAAACAACATTTAAGACTTGTGAAACAGAAGCCGGGGATATAGCTCAGCAGCACGGCACCTGCCTGACAAGCGTGAGGTCCTGAGTTCGATTCCTAGTTCAGAAAAAAAAAAAATAGATGTGAAACATTATTTCGTAAGCAATAGACCTAACATTGTAATACTTGCATGAAAACAAAAAGTTCTGTATTAAAAAACAAAATTTTTTTGCCCTAGTTGAAATGTTTGATTATACCAACAAAACTTTTTTTAGGATCTTCTGCCTATTAAACAAGAAAACGAAAAATCCCGTTCAGAAAACATGGATGCGTTTGAAAAAGTGAGAACAAAATTAGAAACACAGCCGCAAGAAGAGTATGAAATCATCAATGCAGAGGTAGGGTATATCATACCATGGTTTGTTTTTGTTAAAGAAAAATCTCATTAAAGGTACCTTATGATTCAGAGACATAATCTCATGTCAAACTTCTCCATTTGACCTTTAAAATATGCTAAAACTTTAAAGAGAAAAAAACAAATGTGATGTGATCCTTAAAATAAATTTAAAGATTAAAACTAAGGTAATTGTAAAATGTGATAAATTAGTTCTGATTTTAAGGAACATCTAGTTCTGTTTAAAAATTTTTTAAGATTTCAAGGAGAGGTTCAAATGAAGCCAATCCCTAGTACTATCTTTATTATTTAAATACTGTGTGCTCTGTTTACATTTTGTAAGTAGAGAGATATTCACATGAGTATAATGCCATTAAAGGTAAAAATGTTTAGTCATTTTATAGTTACCAATCATAAATATTTAACTGAGATAGATTGAACAAACAAGTTCAAAACTTTTCAGTATGATTGGGAAACTGAATCACAGATTATAAATGAAAATCATGAAAGCTGGGCATGGTGGCACGCACCTGTAATCCCAGCACTCAGGAGGCTGAGGCAAGAGGGTTGCTGTGAGTTTAAGGCCAGCCTGGGCTACATAGTGAGTTGAAAGCCAACCTGAACTGCATAGCAAGACCTTGCCTCAGAAAAGGTGTGGGATGGAATCATATATGTGGTAGAATGAAAATAGCCGTAGGGATTCTAGAGTCTAATTATGTCAGTACCTAAGAATAAATGTGATGTAAGCCATCTGAGATCTGTCATGCGTAAGGTTGAGCTGTTAGACAAGAACACTATTCACATATTGGTACTGTTTATTTTCTCAATTTTAGTATATTTGCCACCCCACAGAGGGTAATATATTTTGTGTAAAATCAAGTCAAGACTGCACAGATTGATGACAGCATATTTTAAGGAAAAGAATCTCAGAAAGCTATTGACTGGTTTTTTAAACTAGTCGAAGCCACAGTTTTCTCATCTTTTGGATTTGTAAGACATAGAGGCCACTTAATTTTTGTTAATTGAGTCCCACTATAAAGATATCAGATGTGCTCAAAATAAACCTAAAATGACCTATACCTTCATGAGAAGCAGTGCTCATTTTGTTAAACCTCTTGCAGTTATGCATTAGAAACCCCTCTAAGTGCCTGTGAACATAGGAGAATGGTACCTTACCGACGATATTGTAAAAGTCGGTCCATTTTATTTTTCTGTTTATTCAGATCCTTCTACAGATCTGCTTTTTATAACAGATCTTATTTCTTCTTCATCTTGAATAGTCAGATGATTAAAAGGTTAATTATATTATCATTAAGTAGATCATTTGTTTCTTTTGATTATTAGGTTAAACATGGTGGTTTTGTTTATTATCAAGAAGGATGCTGCTTGGTTCGTTCCAAAGATGAAGAAGGTACACAACAAATGTTTTCATTCGACATACTCTGATTTTTCAGATTTCACATGTTTATGGGAGGTTTGTCATTAATTTCTTAAAGGTATAAAGAAGATTATTAAAAAATTAATTCTGAAATTTTTTAAAAAGACTAATTTTTAATATCCAGGCTTACTTAGGATAAAGTTAACAGTTCCACTCAAAAGCTTTGGTGGGGAGAACAGAAACTGGTTCCAGCATTTTGTGTGCGTATGCTGTGCGCAGGTACTAGGCACTTCCCATGTCACTCAAGCCTGTTTGTAGTCTCTGGCTTTCTAAGTTCTGTATGGTCAAGGCTAGACTATAACAGGATGGAACATCTCGTGGGTTGGTGCATAGAATAGTAATGAACAGCACAGGATATCATTAAATAACTGAGAGCAGTTTATGTGCAGTCAGGCTACCCTCATTGGAAAGAAACTTTCTAGTTGGCCACTTGTAGAAGAGGACTGCTAATTTAGAACATTGAAATCCAGTTCTAAATTCTTTTAAAGTACATCTTGTGGAGTTATCTCTTCCATATTTTTTATACAGCAGACAATGATAATTACGAAGTTTTATTCAACTTGGAAGAACTTAAATTAGAGCAGCCATTCATTGATTGTATCAGAGTTGCTCCAGATGAGAAATACGTGGCCGCCAAGATAAGAACTGACGATTCTGAAGCATCGACCTGCGTAGTGATAAAGCTGAGTGATCAGCCTGTGATGGAAGCTTCTTTCCCAAATGTGTCCAGTTTTGGTAAGCCCCCAACCAAAGCAGTCTTTTCTGCGGGAAAGGCAAACGTCAGAGAATTGCCCACGCTTTGAAAATGTTGGGGGTGGGGGTGTTTGATTGTTGTTTTTCCCTTTGAGTAAAGAGGAGTGCTGACTCCATCATCCTGTGTGCCTCTGATTCAGTAGGTCTTCCCTTTATATACCTGAGTGATTTTAAAATAATGCTCATGCTTTGTAAAAGGTTAATAATCAGTGCCCTCACTGCACAGTGTATTTTGATGTGTAATTCTTTGCCAATTTATTATTTTTGTTTTTGTTTTTGTTTTTCTCCGGTACCAGGAACCAAACTCACGACCTTGCGCTTGCCAGGCAGGCGCTTTGCCCCTGAGCTAAATCCCCAGCCCCCTTTGCCAGTTTATTATATGCAATAAATCTTTGCTCATAAATTGCATCTTTTTGTCAACCTTAAGCTTGGTTATGTATAATTTTAATTTCATGTTATCTTGTAGAGTCATTAGAGCAGATTGCTCCAAGTCTTTACTAAGGAAGTTTGGGCTGTATTAAACTAACTAACGCTTCAGTGGAAGCCATGACATTTTAAAGAATAGAGCCAACTTTCAATTTTGTCATTGAAGTCGTATATATGCTCTTGTGCTGCCCTTTGATTTTCTCCATTGTTGACTAAATGTTTTGGCAGTTAACTGACAGTATACCACATCTAATGGATTCTAAGAAACATATGTTGTACATTTTAACCTCTAAAATCAAGATGCAAATTATACAGTGTTGACTTAACATGCATTGTCAGCCAGGTGGTTAGTCATGATATAATTGTGCACAAACTTCCTTTGACAGATTCTGGTGAAATTAAGAGGCACCATTAAAATGTATTTGGTAGTTTAAGATGTCCTATGGTTTGAAAGTAGACAGAAAAATTTGAGACAAGAGAAAGTGATTCAGCACTTCTATAGGCGAGTGCTACAAGTTGTAGATTTACACGTAGCTCATCTCCTGGAAGCAAATGTGACTTTACCAATGTCTTTCCTAAATATTGTATATTTAGCTCTTATTTAGGAACTTAAGTAGCCTGAGATGAACATCTTGAAAATGCGGAACTGATGTAGTAGTATTTTACTGTCTGGAAAGCTCTGACTTATACACAGCACTGATTGGCTACAGCCAAATCTATGTTGTATTTACACTTGCCGGGGCAAAGTTGTGTATCTGGCACTCAAAATTAGAATGTCCTGTCCCTTTTTTTTTAAACTGTAAGTATATGGCTAGAGCTAATTCTATTAATTACTTTCTTTCAGAGTGGGTAAAAGATGAGGAAGGTGAAGATGTTTTATTCTACACCTTCCAGAGGAACCTTCGCTGTCAAGACGTTCATCGAGCCACTTTTGGGGATAACAAACGTAATGAACGTTTCTACACAGAAAAAGACCGAAGGTACTAAGATAATTCAATCAAGCCATTTTCTCTAGGATATTTCTCCAGTTATAAAAAGTGCTGATCGTGGTTGTCTTGAAATTTTGGGTTTTTTTTTTGGAACCAAGTAGATTAAGGCTAAGATGATCATGCTTTTTTTAGTTGTTTATGTTCCGAATTATATTCGGAACATAAACAAATTATATTATATTATATGAGTCTCATTATATTCAAACCCACATATATCACTACCCTGCAAATGCCGAGTTACCAGCATTCTCTGGACTGTGACACATGAAGGACTTGTTAATGAAACATGAAACAAAGTTGCCACACAGCAGTTCCAAGTCTCTTATAAGTCATGACCAAAATACCGTGATATCAGCTGCACAGAATGTATTACCCATTTAATGGAGATTATGTAAATTTTGAATTGCTTTGCTTTCAGCCATGATATCCACTGGTCTTTAACCTTTTCCTCAGTACTGTGATGAATTTTTTCTTAAAATTACTACTTTCTGATTCCTTATAATTTCCAGGACTCATGCTCATATTAACACTTAACAAGGTTTGGGAAGAAATAATAATCAGTTTATCTACCAGAATGTCTTGATTCTTACCCAAATATATTTTTCCAAATGACTAATGAAAAACAAATTTTGCCTTATTGTCAAGGTCTTAATCACTGCCTACATTATTTAACAGTATACTTTGGACAGTGTCTATGTACATTTTGTAGGGAAAACAAAGGGAATTTAACCTCAAATCTCTGATAGTGAGGTTGATAACCAAAACAAGAAAAGTAACACTTCATATCATGGAAAAGTTTAGAAAGACTTAAAAGATCTTATACAATCCCATTTTTAATAAGAAAGTCCAGGGTCATGTACTGTAGTTCACGCATTTTGAAGAAAGCAATATTTCTAAAGGGAAAGATCTAGACATAATTAAAAGACCTGATTTTTAATCACTGAAGAATGACCATTCCCCACCCACCTAAAATTTTTTTTGATCAAAATGCTATTCACTGTACAACTGCCAAAGCGGTGCTATCATCAGATACTCAGAACAGGGCTAAATTGGGAAGGTGTGGGAAGTAAGCTGGTCTCTGCAGCATCTGCCAGAGATCCCGGGGAAGCAGGCTCCAAGGAACCCTGAGTGTATTAAGTTGCGCCCAAACTGACATCTTTGAAAGTGCAAGAAGAATTTTGGAGGTATATCTGTAACATTTTTAAAAATTAGTATTTTTAAAATGCTGAAGTCCAGACAGTTTAAAAATTTACCAGAATTATACAGCTGATCATTAGCAAAATGTGCACCTTTTAACTCTTCATCCAAAACTCTTCCTTTGGGGTAAAACTTAAATCTTTAGGTAAGAAGGAGGATTACCTGGAATGACCCTTTCTGGAATGACCAGCAGGAGGTTCTAGTCTGTCTTCTTCCTAAGACTGATTGTATGGTTGGCGTTAGACAGACCATTTCTTGTTTTGTTTCTATATTTTATAATACTTTACTTAGGTTGCTTAAAGATTAGAGAATAATGTTCATAGAGTGATTCATTCATATAGTGATGGATTCATACAGATGTCTTGTAGGATGTATTTCTTGGCTTTAAGACTCATTTTTGAGTATACTTCTCTTTAAATATATTTATGCAAATTAAAAATTCATGCAGATCATTTTGAATTCACCACCTACATGTCCAAGTAATACTACTGAGTGGGAAATTGAAGTCTGCTACCCATGCAAGTATAATACCTATAACCAGTACAATTAAGAAAAAAGACATTTAATTATTAAAAGGTAAAATTTTGTTAATTATAACATGTTTCATTCATGTAAATTAATGAAGACAACCTGCAACTACCAGACTGTCTACCTTTGCATCGTCATTGATAAGTGTGGTGCCGGGCCTATATTATTGCTGTTTAAATGGTGCCCTTCAGTCAGTTTTTCTCCTTCAAGCTAAAACCCCTAATCCAGTAGAAGTGTTGCACACCTTTTAAGCATTGAGTTCTTGGCAATATGTAGAAGAATTTAAAGTATATATTCCTACAAAATTCTAAATTAAAGCTAACTGGAAAATGTATTGCACTAGGTGAAAAAATTGAATATATGGGTTCAACATATTTGGCTGTGTCAGGAAAAATGATGCATCTTTTAAAAAAAGATTAAAAAGAAATACACCCAAAATACTAGTAAGGGGGGGTTTCCTACTTTTCTAATCTTTTATAATAACTGCCAGTTTTTAATCATTGGGAAAGTAATTTTAATTTAAAAAATAAATATCAAGCCAGGCATAGTGGCACATACTCATAATCTCAGCATTCTGGGAGGCAGAGGCGAGAGGCCCACAAGTTCAAGCCCAGCCTGGGAAACTCAGCAACTTAGGGATAGTGTGTCTCAAAACAAAAAATTAAAAAGGGTAGAGGATGTGGCTTAGCACAAAGGCCAGGTTCAAGCTCCAGAAGCAGAAATAAATAAATATTAATACAGTAAATGGAGAAGGGCACCGGGCTCTACTTCTTCATGTTCCTTATCTTTTCTTTCCAAGAAATACTTTACTCTAGAACCACTTATGTTCTTACTTCCTCATAACTGCATATCTTCCAAGTAACTTCTCTTTTGACTTATCATCACAGAACAAACAGAACAGGTAAAATTGTGGAAAATAAAGAGCAAAGGGGTTGGGGGACTTACCCTACAGTCACATATTAAAGCGTATGATGCTACAAATAGTAGAGTAATATAATTCGACTGACAAGTAATAGAGACTAGAATATGTAACTCTGAAACAGACCCTCTTATGTGCGAAAACAGTGATACAAGAGGCATCACAAACTAATGAAGACTAAGATGGAGCAGTGGACACACAGACAGACAGGTGACGAAGGAAACACGGCCACGTCTTAGCAGTGATCGCATCTACTGCCAGGAATATTAGTGTTAGCTTTGCAGTTCTTTCAGTTTCTTTGTTTGAGAAACATTTGAGCTATAACTTTAGAAAAAAAAAAATAATCTCAAATGCCTCTGGATAGAGATGAGAAAAACAATAGCCATTTTAAAATGTTGGAGCAGTGTTTACTAAGGAATTTTTAAATTTTTTGACTGCATTATAAATTAACATGTAGGGGGCTGGGGATTTAGCTCAGCGGCAAAAGCGCCTGCCTGGCAAGCGCAAGGTCGTGAGCTCGGTTCCCAGTACCGGAGAAAAACCAAAAAAAAAAACCAAATAAATTAACATGTATTTCACTTCTGAAGTAGTGTGATTAATGAAGCGTGCATTTAAAATTTATTGCACTCTCATGTCTGTCTCTCTTTCTGTAGCTATTTTGTTTTCCTGTATCTTACAAAAGATAGTCGTTTCCTCACCATAAATATTATGAACAAGATCACTTCTGAAGTGTGGTTGATAGATGGCCTGAGCCCGTGGGACCCACCGGTCCTTATTCAGAAGCGAATACATGGGGTCCTCTACTTCGTTGAACACAGAGATGATGAATTATACATTCTTACCAATGTTGGCGAGCCTACAGAATTCAAGGTAATTCTAGATTCTCCTTGTCTCTATTTGTTAATTAAAAGGCGTCACACTTCCCTCAGCAACGTCTCTTGCTCTTAAGAGGTGACTGTTTTGTAGGCTTCACTGAAGTACAGAAATTGTTGCTACCTTCCTGGACATTGCCACTCCCATTTCTCTTTCCTTAGCGCTAATGCTTCTGTATGCTTTATTTGTGCCTTAAAAGTTGGTAAATGACACATATTCTATCCCAGTTATGTTTTCAAAACCAATCTTAATTGGACGTGGTAGCACACACCTGTAATCCCAGCCCTCGGGAGGCTGAGGCAGGAGGATTGTTGCAAGTTCGAGACCAGCCTGGGCTACAAAGTGAGCTCAAGGCCAGCCTGAACTGCATAGCGACACCCTGTCTCAAAAAGACAAAAGAAAATCTTAGCAGCTTAAAGGAGCAAACTCATAAGCTCACAGTTTTGTGACTTAGTAGTTCAGATTTATTTCCACTAGATTCACAGATGTAATCACAGCATGCTGGCTGTCGTTGCCCTTCCTCCAATGTCGCCTCTTTGGCTGTCCACTAAGCACCGGGCATACTGTCTCACCACCCAGCAGGCTAGCCTCGTCTTATGTGGTGATATTTGTACTTCCTCCTAGATGCAGAGCGAATTTCTGCTCATTTTTGTTAAAAAATGGCAACTCGTGTGGTCTGGTTTTCAGCGGTTTCATTTCCAGATGCTGCCTTTGTGTCTTGTTACTTAGCTCTAACTTTGTTCCACACAGCTAATGAGAACAGCAGCTGATACCCCTGCTATTATGAATTGGGACTTATTTTTCACAATGAAGAGAAATACCAAAGTCGTAGACTTGGACATGTTTAAGGATCACTGTGTTCTCTTCCTGAAGCACAGCAATCTACTTTATGTTAATGTGATCGGTCTGGCTGATGATTCAGTTCGATCTCTAAAGGTATGTGTGATTTACAAAAGACAGTATTATTAAAGTATGTACACAGTTTAGCTTAACATAAAATCAAGTTTTGGATAATGTGTACTTAAAAATACTTTAAATGGAATTTAGCATACTAGCTCTTTAGAGTTTAAGAGATGTATTTTAGAGTTGCTTGGCGGACTCAGCAAGTGATTTGATTTAAAATACCGTCTTGAAACATGGACTTCAAAAACAGGTGTCATTATATTTCTTTGTCCAGGTCTCTGTATATCGGGTATCTTCACAACTTTAGGTGTAGCTGGCACTCAGACCAACTTGGCATCTAGTGCGTGGCCACGGCCGCTGCTCCGTCCGTGTCCTCAGTGAGATAGCGGTCTTGTCCGCTGTTTCTGCCACAGCGTACTTGTATTCACACCATCTTCTCTTTGTTCTTACCCAGGGGGGGCAGACTTCGGTTTCTTTGAATACAGGGTGGCGGCAGGCTGCCTAGCAGGCCGTTGGATATTGCCTGTGGCGGCCGGGTAGGATAATCTGCCTTCATATGCGAACCTGATAAAGTTAGTGAATGGCAGCCTTATTGCTCACCTTTAAAGCAGCCTTAACAACTGAATGAAGCGAGCAGGCACAGAAGAAAAGAGGAAGGTGCCCTCACCGTTCTTGACAGGGAAAGTTTTTGAGCCAGTAGACTAGTAGCAAGCAACATGGACCGCTTCTACCTCCCTCACTCCAGTGTGGTCAGAAGTCCTGTTAAACTGCATTTCTAGTCAGTTTGGTGGCTGTTCAAAAAGTGGCATCAAAAATAGAATATCCTGTGGGGCACAAAGCAGAGGAAGAAATCTCTGGAAAACTTTTGTAGAGTAAGTTGAATTATAAATAGAGAAGATAGATAAGGTTTTACAGGTGCGGAGGAGTATTGTATTTGAGGAGGGAAAGGTCGTTCATTGAAGCTGTAAGCTGGAGATGCTCAAAAACAATTTGGAAAGCTGAGAATAATTCTGTTTCACTGAAGCATTTCTGGGGTGTGAAACTATGACAGTGTTTTTTGACTGTCGCTGTGAAGAATTTATGCATAAATTATGAAGGGGGAACATCTGACGTTTTGAGCAGAAGACCTCACTGGGTGAAGCTGTATTACGAGGTTGTCAGGCATATAAAGCTAGACTGAAGTGAAAAGAGGTAAGCGGCGGGAGGGTGGGTTTTGAGATTGTTACACTGGTGCAGGAAATATACAGCTCCCAACCTGCTGGATGTGAGATGTGCCGAGTTTGTGTTCCCTGAAATTAAAGGATGAATTCCAAGGAACAACAGAGGTTAAGAGTAGGAAAGGTTTAACGAGAGCTTCTGAGAGACAGGAGGCGCCCCAAAAGTGGGTTGCCGCTGAGGCCTTTTGTCAGGGGTAATTTATACAGCAGAGTCAAACTTCAGTCAACCTACAGGATTACAAGTACTGTATAGCTGCTTAGCTAACACTGGTCCGAAAGGGAAATGAGTGGTGTAGCAGGAGTACACGGAGAGGCCGGGAATATCGTTCGGCAGCGGCACAGCACCTGCCTGGCCAGCGCACGATCCTTGGTTTGATTCCAGGTACCGGAAAGAAAAAAACAGGGGTACATGAAAAGAACAAAGGCGTTTTGGGAAGGGAGGGGTCCAGATGATTTTGTCACCCAATGGGAGACTGATGCCTGTCTGGATTTCCTGCGCCAAGTGGTGCTAATTACAGTATAATCTCAACTTACTGTTTATCCCTTTGGAGGCACGTAGGCCCAGCTGTTGCGTCTGTGTCTTGCCTGGCCTTCTTCAGACGAGCCTCCAGCCACAGTTCTGATGTCTGTTTATTCTGCTCGCTTCCTTGAGAGCCCACGCCCTCTCTGAATATATATTTTTTCCATCTCACTTGGTTGCCTATAGTAACACGAGTGCAAATAAAAACTAAGGAGGACCTAAAACAACCGAAATTCTCCAGCTGCTCCCTAAAGTAAAATTATGGGCTGTAATAACCAGGTTCTTCAAGGACTATAGAGATATCCTAAAGAGGATGACGATTGACCTCAAGAATTTTCTTACTGTCTTTATCTCCTGGGTTCAAAGTGTTTCTTTTTGCTTGCTAATCTACCCAGAAATTCAATATCTTCATTACCGTCTGTATAAATACAGGAGAAAATATATACTTTTTAATGATGTATTTATTACAACAAAACCTGCCAAGAAAATTAGGAATGTCATGCAGAGTTTAACTCTACTATAATGTTTGGCTTTTATGTAAATACGACCTTTTATATTTTTATTAAATATTTCTGGGTGGTTTTTTAAGGTTTTACATTTGTTAGAGGTGTTAGAGATAGAATTAAAGGCAGGAAGAAAAATATGCTCTGCAGAGTGAGTCAGGCCAGTTAGAGTACGAAGAGAAATAAGAAAGGAGTACATTCTGTCAGCTGCAGAGCAGACTGGGGAAAAGGCATGCAGCTAAGTATTTCTGTTTTTAGAATACTCCTTGGATATGTACCAGTAAAAAAATAAAGTAATTCTTAGGTTAGCGGTATAGCTCAATGGTAGACCATTTGCCTAGCATGCATGAGGGCCCTTGGTTCCATCTCCAGCACCTCAAGAAAACAAACACAAATACATATTCTTCACTTTCTGTTGTTTTAACTTCTGTTAGATAACAGGTATGTATTCGGTATCCCCTGTCTCTTCCTTTCCTGACCCTACCCATACCTATTATGCCGTATGTTGTTAGGGCATCATCAGATGGAGTCATATATTACATTATGTACCAGGTGCCACTTAAACAGAATTTTGTAGATTAGACCCATTTTATGAAAGTATTGTACTGATTAATGACCACAGACAGTGCTGTGTTCAAAGGCACAAACTCTTTAACCATACAGTGAGTGGGTTATAAAGTAATTCTGTATGTAACATCTCTGCCTAGTGAGCACCTTAGAGATTTTTCTTAAAACTCAGTCTCAGCAATGGAAATGTAAAACCTCCTGTTCTTGCTTCCTGTCCTAAGTTATCACATCATCAGTATTTTGTGGTAGCATTTTCCCCACCAAAAGATGTTGTATAATGGGATGGATGATGCGTATGTAGGCAGACTGATTTTTTGTTTACTCTCTGCTTGACATCTGTTTTATTTGGCAGAGGCATCTGCATACACAGGCTCATTTTCTTTCAGCATGTTATGTCTTAATCATTCTTTCAATAAAGTGACTATAGTTTGCTGGTAGAATCCTAGAGCCAAACCTGTTTCTATCAGGTATCTAAGAAATGTCTGCCGGGCTGGGGATATAGCTCAGCAGTACAAGCGCCTGCCTGGCAAGTGCAAGGTCAGGAGTTCAGTTCCTGGCACCAAAAAATAAGAAAGTAGACTTCCTAAGAAATGTCTGCCTACCCCGCCAGCTTATTTCTGAGTGGTGTCCATGAATACCTGTGCAGATACTCTATAGGCTTCTCAGTAGGAAATGTGGTACACAATATCCTTGAGATAGTTAATACCTCTTTCTGCATCAGCTGGACAAACTAAAAAGTTCCACAGCCTTGTAATATTTTTGTTGTGAATAAAACGAATCTTGGTGCAGTTTGTCTTAGGAAAACACCCGAAAGACTTTTGACTTACTGGAGCCAGTTGGCCTAAAGCTGAGACAGTTTACTACCTGGGTCACCCAAAAACTGACCTAAAGTCTCACCAAAGGACAAAACCTTTTTCCTTGTCTCTCAGGCCAGGGAACCTTGTACCTTCCTTCTGGCACCTAGGTACCAGGCCTAAAATAATCCTCAGTCTGAGAAGAATAAATCAGGAGCTCAGAGAGACTCTCAAATGGGTCTCCTTATTAGTGTTTGGCAAAAATAGCTTCTTCCGTTTAATTAGAAGAAACCTGCTTGCTGGACATGAGCTCTGTGGCTGCCATTCCCGCAGGTTACACGGGGAGCTCTTTGCGCGCACATCCCCCGCTCCCCCTTTGCAGCAGAGCCTGCCCGTGATGTTGCTGTGCCGAGACCTCTGATTTTCTGAGGAATTTGCCCTTGCCACAATTACTCAGGAAAAGAAAGGCAATTTCTTTTAATGTTCTGATTCTTCGTACCACTTCTAACACTCTGTCAACGTGCTAACCAGAGCTCTTTAAAAGGTGTAAGCATGATGCTAGCAGAGGGCTTGAAGCCGGACCCCGCTGCTCCAAGAGAATAAATTTTGATTCCTTTCCTTTTTTCTTAAAGTTAAGAATCTCAGGCATAATGGCCGTAAGTCTCTCAGAGTAGATGTGCCTGGAAAGGTTTTGTTCTGCACAACGGTTAGCCTGGAAGCTAAAGTTAGAAACAAATTGTAACTGCTTCAGTGCTGCTGAGCCCGTTGGTAGCCAGGGAATAATGACTGTCATCACTGGGCTGTCCAGGCAGCAGGCTGAGGGCTGGGGGGGAAATTATTCAAAATACACACATCGAAGCGTTTTATGTTCTGTGAGAACAGATCGTGGAGCCGTCGCTGAGTTTCAGAATTACCATTTCATTTGCTTGTAATCTCAACCATTCTGTGACTTTATTATCCAGATTTATACCCAGAATAAACTTACGTTAAAGGAGATTTCATGTAAATCTAGAATCCTGGTAAGCCTCTTCTCTATAGTGGTTCTTTATTGGTGATTAGTGTAGTTTTATTTCTTAGCTGAAAGACACTTTTTTGTGATGAAGTACTGTAATCCTTAAATGATACGTCATGTATCGATAGAAAGGAAACCGGATGTCTGTGTCATTTTGTTCTGAGCAGACTCAAAAACCTAATTAATGATACTTAGTTACGTGTAGATAAAGAATGAAAGTAAGTATTTTATTTCTTTAGCTTCCTCCTTGGGCCTGTGGATTCATAATAGATTCAGGTTCTGACCCGAAGAACTGCCCCTTTCAACTTTGCTCTCCGATTCGACCCCCAAAATACTACACGTACAAGTTTGCAGAAGGCAAACTGTTTGAGGAAACTGGACATGAAGACCCGATCACAAAGACTAGTCGGATTTTACGTCTAGAAGCCAAAAGCAAAGTAAGTGTCTAGAATGTCTACTTTCAGCTCCCATTATTGAAAGCCTGCTATGCTGTGATTACATCAGAACCACTTTCCAAAATAGATCCCTTACATCATAGTGTAAGATCCAAGTGATTTTAGAGAGTACGTGGGGTTTTTATTTAACATTATTACTCAGGTATTTACTTGAACATGGAGTAGAAAACTTACAGGTAACATTTTAAACGCTTTATTTTACACGTTGTTTGTATTTGAATTTTAAAAGCTAAATAAAAATGTAAATAGTCAATGGTGTGCAGTTATGGCAAAAATTAGGAAGGTATGGTAAGCAGCTGACAGAGTGAGCTAGACTAATCCGGGCCCTGACCTCATGGAGCTTAAATTTTAAAAAAATAAAATAAATAATAAAAATAAAAAACAAAGAGCTTAAATCTAGCAAGGAAGATGCCAGAAGTTGAAGAAGTAATTACTAATGTTCTGACTGATGCAAAAGGAAACAGATTACATGGAAACATGGCCGAGGGACTTTACGTAGTCTAGAGCGATGAGGGAAGCCTCTGAGAAGGTGCGTCTCAGGTAGGACCTCTGGGATGACCCAGAGGGAAAGGAGGAAGGGGCCTGGGATCCCATTTTGTGCAGAGGCCCCGAATTTGTGTAGAAGTGATACAGTTGAAAACTGTAGAGGAAGCCAGTAAGACCAAAGCATACAAAAAGACAAAAAGAAAAGGGCCAGGTGTGGTAGCACACACCTGTAATCCCAGCACTCGGGAGGCTGAGGCAGGAGGATCGTTGTGAGTTTGAAACCAGCCTGGGCTACAAAGTAAGCTCAAGGCCAGCCTGAACTGCGTAGCAACACCCTGTCTCAAAAAGACATTAAAAAAAAAAAAAAAAAAAAGACCAAAGCTAGAAAAGAGAGAAAGATTGGTAGGGAGAATAGAGCAGTGAGAAACAGAGAAGGAAATAACAGATACCCGTATTCCATAGGCTAAATATACTAAAAATACCCAAAGACTACACATAGAATTTACAAATGTGTACTACTAGAGAACAAAGTAATACATAAACTATAGCCTTGATTGAAGGACTTTTTAGACCTTAACATATCATATATCTAATAATTTCACATGCTGTAGCAAAGAATAACATTATTTTTCCTTATGAAATTTTTTTCTTTTATTCATTGATTTTCTTTTAATGTCTTTAAGCAAATATTATTTTTGTATTTCGAAAACAGTATACACATTCACAAGAACATACTTGCAAAATACAGAATGTGTAAAGTTTAAACCACTGCCTTTTGTTCCCATTTGCTGTATGTCTTAGAAAGAAACAGTTAACCCTTTACTCGTATCACCTTCCAGATTTTGTTGTTGTCAAAATGTATACTTTGGGGATTTAATTTTACAAACTAGGGTTATACCAGTGTACCAAAATGTTGCAATTAGTGTACCACAAATGGAGAAAAAATCAAGTGCTTGGAGAGCCAAGGGACTCCCCGGGCACCGCGGTAGAAGCCACGCTGAGTGGCAGCTGCTCCTCCTCCCCACAGCTGTCCGTGCTGCTGAGAAGCTCCGGGACCTGGCCCAGCACAGGACTCGCAGCCATCTCTACCTCTTCCTCTTCAGCCGGGGGTCCTTCAGGTTATATAGTTGGAGGTTAGGGAGAGACAAGGACATGAATGGAACATGATTGTCTTACAGAAATGAGTTTATGTCATGCTTTATAAAAATAAATCTTACTCAGAAGGGAAAATTTACTTACATTGCCGTGACAAGCTGGGTATGATGAAGAGTGGAAGGGAGATTTCTTCCTATTTGATAACATGCTGGTGTGTCATTTTATTGCCCCAGAATGAAGTTTTGAAAATGAAAACATTATGGTGATTTGGTTGTATTAGTTTTGTATGTAAACTAGTGCTATTTTGTTTAATTTATTTAAGCAAAGTAAGAACCAACTTCATGCTGGGTGTGGTGACACACGCCTGTAATCCCAGCATGTGGGAGGCTGAGGCAGGAGGATTGCCATGAGTTCAAGGCCAGCCTGAGCTACATAAGTGAGTTTTTCAAGGCCAGCCTGCACTACATAGTGAGACCCTGTCTCAAAAATAAACAAACGAAAAGAACCAGCTTCACCCTTTTTCTGTGAAATGAAAATCAAAGGTAGTCCTGTTTTCTGCATTTTTTTCTGTTGGAGGGTGCTGTGTTTCAGTCAACTGGAATTAATGAGTTTGAGCTACAGCAGCAAATACTGAGACTTAATGGCCATTTAAGTGTTAAATTTATGAAATGCATTTGAACCACTTTAAAATGTTTTAAATAAATAGGCTTTGGAAAAGAATGTGAATGGTTATCAGTAAAATGAGTAAGAAATTTCAGGTCATAATGGTTGAGAAATGTGACTTTAGAAGACAGAACACTGCACTAGTAAAACTTCTTAATGCAGAGATGAGACTTGTCAGTGTCTCACCCTAGACATAGGAGGAATTCTGTACTAGGAATTCTATTTCCTGCGTTAGTAGGTGTTTCGCCCTGACCCAAAAGAAAAAAATAGTACAGTAATAATACTAAGTAAATAAGTTTTGTTTTTGGAAACAGGGTCTCACTTTGTAATTCAGACTGGTCTTGAACTCACTATGTAGCCCAGGCAGGCCTCAAACACACAGCAATCCTCCTGCCTCAGCCTCCCAAGTGCTGAGAACAGGCATGTGAAGAAGTCTTTTATAATCACTTTACTGTCATGAAAAGCCATGTTTAATAAAACATTTTCAAGCCAGTCTTGCTGCTGTTTTCTGGTTGATACTGTGGGTCAGCAAGGGAATTGAAACCAAGAACAATGGGAGAACATAACCCTATTATCATAAATGAAGTTCACGTATAGCATGAAGTAGGACAGAGGGGAGTTGCACGCTTCAGTGTGTTTTAAATTCCAGGTAAAGCTGCTTTAAAAGGCTCTTTACATGCGCGGTAATTCATTTCCAGGATGGCAAATTAGTGCCAATGACTGTTTTTCACAAAACGGACTCCGAAGACTTGCAGAGGAAACCTCTCTTGGTGCACGTGTACGGAGCTTACGGAATGGATTTGAAAATGAACTTCAGACCCGAAAGGCGGGTCCTGGTGGAGGACGGATGGATACTAGCTTACTGCCACGTTAGGTGAGTCAGCGCATTTGCGCCGGCGTGTGAGTTCTAGAACATTCTGACACGTGTCAGATATCCAGAGCTCCAGCATACACCAGAGAGCCCCAGACTGTTTCCTCAGTTGTCCTGTTGGCTTTATGTGTTCCTAAATCTGTGCAGGTGGAATTTGACCCTCTAACAGATTAGTTAATTCAAAGAGCAAAAGGATAGATTCTTAGGATTTTAAAATGTGTAGTCTTAGATTACAGTTTCCACTGAATTCTCCTTAGTTCAGTTAAACAGCCTCTTAAGCTCTACTCCTCTTTTCCTGTCTAACTTCCATTTTATTTTATAGTTTTTCTCAAGACACAAATATAATTGTTTTCTCCTTGAAATCCTCCTCTGCCTCCCGACTCTAGAACAAAGTCCAGCTTCCTCAGCCAGGTCTCCTCATGACCTGGCGGGTCACTGTGGTGGCATCCGTCACCCCGGCCCGCGCCCACACTGCGCCTCGCCTGCCCCTGCCGTCCTCCTGCCCAGGAGGAAGTGGGCGTTCTCCTCCACCACGCACCTCCCCCGCCGCCTCCGTGAGCACAGTGCTGACGCCGGTGTGCACCCTGCCGTCTCCCACGTGGTGTCCTAGCTCTGCTCCTCTGACACCTCCTGTGCACTTGCGTGAGAGCAGCGACCACAGCACTTGGTGACGTTTCTTCCCTCCCAAAGCTGTGCCTCTCTATGGCAGTCTCCGCTCGTTTGCATGTCCGGGGTCTGCACTCAGTCCCCGAGAAGCAGGGGGCAGCGCTGCGAACGTACTTGCCGAGTTCGTCCTTGATGGTCTGCATCAGGGGTTGGCAAACCTTTTTCTGAGGAGCTAGACAGTAAACACTTTAAGCTTTACTGTGCATGTCCCTTCTTGTGGTTTCCCCCAGCCTTTAAAAATAGAAAAAAAAATGTTTGGCTTGAGGACCTTACAAAAGCAGGCCTCCAGGTAGTTCGCTGACCTCTACCCGCATCGTTACCATTCTTTACCACTGACATGTTTCTGCCCTTTAATTTCAGGGGAGGTGGTGAGTTGGGCCTCCAGTGGCACGCTGATGGCCGCCTGACCAAAAAGCTCAACGGCCTGGCTGACTTAGAGGCTTGCATTCAGACGCTTCACAGCCAAGGCTTTTCCCAGCCAAGCCTAACAGCCCTGAGCGCTTTCAGCGCTGGCGGGGTGCTTGCGGGAGCCTTGTGTAATTCTGCTCCAGAGCTCCTCAGGGCTGTGGCTTTGGAGGTGAGTAAACTCTGTCTCTCCTGTTTGCAGAAAGGGGCAAGCGTGAAGCTTCAGGCCGCACTAAAAACAAAGTGTTACAGTTTTACCACAGCGTAAGCCTGTGACGGAGCTTTTAAGTTCAAATGCAGAATTATTGCTCTAGAACTTCTAAAACTGTTCTAATTTTACTGTCTGTGGTTTGCTTACTATTCTCTGACAGTATTCTTCACTAATTTTTAGGAATTCCCCTGGGAGGTGAGTAGCATTCCCACTGAGCGTTTTCTGTCTGTCAGAACTGTAGAGCTGATGGGAAGGAGGTGAGGTGCACAGGCCTCGCGGTTCCAGAAGTTGGGTAGAACATCCATGGCTCCGGAGTGCATTACCTCCTCTGACTCTGCCAGTTTGACACTGCGCTGCTCATCAGCTTTTAGTCCTGCATTTAGGAGGTTTTTTTAGACACTACATTTTTAATGGTCTTTTGAATATAGTTTCCTGTACTTTAATTGAAATGCATCTTGTTCTGAAATGGCCGTATAGCATCTTCCTATAGTTATCCAAAATCGTGAAGCTACATTGTAGCAGTTGGTTTTACCCCTTGTCTCTCTCCTGCTTCCTGTTAGATAGTCTAGAAATCACTGACTGGGCTGGGAGCAAGTAAATTGTTTTGTTTTGTGTCTTGAGGGTGAGGGGTACACAAGGTGAGCTTTATAGTAAGTATTAAATAGCCCTAATCTGAAGATGTACTTTTAAAAACTGGAGAAGCTAACTTGTAACCTGTCCACAATGATAGTAGAATCATTTACAATATAAAGAACATGGAACACCATTCTTGACTTCCATAATTAGAAAGGAAATTTTTGTTTTGTTTTTTTGTTTTTTTTTTCTGGTACCGGGAACCGAACTCACGACCTTGCGCTTGCCAGGCAGGCGCTGTGCCGCTGAGCTAAAGCCCCAGCGCCCTAGAAAGGAAATTAACAGAGGTGTGTGTGTAAGGATGCTAGTCCTGGGTTACTTTATTTTAGAGGAGAATTAGAGACAACCTAAATAGCCAGCAGAAGGGTATTCGTGCATGAGTCAGAGTTCTCCATCACAGGCAGCAAAAACTGGCATCTAGTGTATCAATAGGGAAAGGCAGGCTCTGTTGGTAAAGTGGATTTTCTCAGCGCAGAAAAGGAGTTCAGACGCCCACTGGAGCGCTGGTTAACAGTAACACAAGGGAAAGCTGAGAGCCTGCGATCTGAGGAACATAAGGCTGAATGAAAAGGCAGGCTCCTTCTTGCTAAATGTTTCTATGCTGCTTATGAGCCAGTGGATGGGTTTGTCTTTTACCTTGGATATTTTCCAGATTTCCTTCAGTAACATTTACTTTTAATGTAAAGTTTTAACTGGTGAAGTAAAGTGTATAGGTTAGGGGAACTTTTCACATTTAAAATTTTTGTTGTTGTTGGATTGTTTGTTTTTGATAGTAGGGAATGAACCCAGGGCCTTTGTACTGAGCTACGTGACCAGCCCTTTTTAAAAAGTTCTTATTTTGAGAACCAGATGTGGTGGCACACTCCTGTCATCCTAGCATTTAGAAGGCTGAGGCAGGAGATTGCAGTAAGTTTAAGGCCAGCCTGGGCTACATAGTGGGTTCAAAGCCAGCCTGAACCACATAGCAAGCCCCTGTTCTCAGGAAAACAAAAACACATTATACATGCATACAAACTTTTATTTTGAGACAGCGCTCAAAACAGGGTCTCACTAACTTGCCCATATTGGGGTCGTGCTTGCCTCAGCCTCCCAGAGTGCTGGGAGTACAGGTATATGCCATCACACCTGGCTAAAAACCTTTAGTTGTGTTAAAATAGGAAAATGGACCGGCTTACCCACTGTTAATTGCACAGCTCAGCAGCACTAAGTACGTGCATGTTGCTGTGCGGTCTCTGGACTTGCGTTTTCATCCTGCTGAGTTTCAGTGCTGTACCCGCGGAACAAGTCTCCATGTCCATGCTCCCCACCTTGGAATCATCCCTGCGCCTTTTGTCTGTATGAATTTGACTACTCTAGGCACCGCCTCCAGATGGAATCATACAAAATTCGTCTTTTTTACCTAGCACTGGGGAGGGACCCTAGGGCCTCATGTACGCTAACCACACATTCTGCCGCCTGTTATTGTTGTCATCGTCGTCGTTGAGACAGGGTCTCGCTGAGGTGCCCGTGCGGCCTGGACTTTGATCCCCCGTCTTCGTGTTCTAGGTTCGCTGAGATTACAGACATGCTCCACCATTCCCAGTTTGGGATGTGTCTTTTTGATACTGGCTTATTTTACTTAGACCGTCTCTTAGGCTCATCCGTATTGCAGCAGGGGCCGTCTCATTTCCTTTTCCAAGGTGACTAATCCTGCGTTGTAAGTCTGTACCACACGTTGCCCGTTCATTCACTCGGGCTGTGTCCGTCTGGCTCTCAGTAATGCTGCCGAGACTGGGCCGTCAAGACCCTACTCTCAGTCCCCTCGAGTATGCACACGGTGAAGTTGTTGGCTTTTAAGGTAATCCCAAGTTTAACCTCGGTGAGGAGCCACCATCGCTTCCCACAGTGGCTGCGCCATTGCACGCTTCGGCAGTGTCTGCGGAGTCCAGCCTCTACCAACACTTGATGGTTTTCGGTTGTTTTTTAAACAGAGAAGCCATCCTAATAGTGTGACATAATATTTATCACTTCTATATAGGAAAAAACACACCCGTAAAGGGGACCAAACTAAACACAATTGTGAAATTAGAAGATAAGCCCTTTTTGTTAGAAATGCCATTTAAGGAGCTGGATGCGTTAAAAAGCCAGTTGTCCATCACTTTTTATGGATGAGACCGAGTTGCTAGTCCGGGGGTTTATGCACTGTGTTTCTGAAACCCACCTTACCAACTTGGTTGAAATAGAAGTTTGTTTGGCTTCTTTTTAGGCGCCTTTTGTGGATGTTCTCAATACCATGATGGACACCACTCTTCCCCTGACAATCGAAGAAATAGAAGAATGGGGGAACCCTTCATGTGATCAAAAGGAAAAGAACTACATAAAGTGTTACTGTCCTTATCAAAATATCAAACCTCAGGTAATAATTACAGTACAGTCTCCTGAAGTGACAGAAAAGCAGAAGGGTGGTCACCCGAGCTACGGCGGGAGTTGGCAGGGCTTTGGGGATGTCTCCACTCACGGGACCCACTCATCTCTCAGCGCCATCTCTGCCCATGCTGCACGTTTGTTTCTGATTAAAACCTCAGGGCAGTGGCATTCCTGTGCCTTAATTACTAGATTAGACGACCTCCGTTTTCTTTAGACAAGAGGAGGCTATTCCAAATAATAAGTAGTCTAGTTCTGTAATACTAGGTTCTTTCAAGAATATCCAACAGGAAAAACTTCTGGCACTTAGGGGGAAATTTGGAGGTAAGTAACTCTTTTCCATAATTTTAGAGAAGAGACTGTAAGAAGTGAACTCTGTGCATCTGTTTCTTTTAGCATTATCCTTCAATCCACATCACAGCTTACGAGAACGATGAGCGTGTTCCTCTGAAAGGAATTGTAAACTACACAGAGAAACTCAAGGAAGCTGTCATGGAGTATTCTAAGAACAGGGGCGAAGGTAGGAGGCCAGCGGGACGCAGGGAACACAGCTGACAGACGGGAACCCTCAGCATCCTGCTCAGAGAACCACGGCTCATGCTCAGACCAAGTCATCTGCCCATGATTTAAGACATACACTTGTTTTCCTGTGTTGACTTCCCAGTTAAAGACTGTGCACCTGACGCAGAAAAGTAAATTTAAATATCAGCTGTAACTTAGAGATGTACTCTCAAACAGTTACTCATTCATTTAACATTTGCTGAGACATTCTTTGTGGGAAGCTCCAAAAGAGTCTAGGTTTCTGCTTTGGAACTTAAGTGCCCAAACTATTGGCGTTAATTTCTTAGTTCTTTTCATTTTCACTAGATAAGAACGCTTCCTTTTGGCGGTGAAACCGCAAGCCAGGATACTCAGGGTTCAGAAGGAGGAGGAGCCCACCGCAGTCAGGGTTTGCCTGTACCCAGCTCCACTTTTAGTCCCACCCAGGAGTACGTGTGGTGCTTCCAGAGTGCAGGACTCTTGGGTTCTGCAGGCTCTTGCCTCCCTCCTCCCACCACAAAACTTCTCCTTGTGGTGCCCCGGCTCCTCCGACCAGCGTCCTCTGGCACGGGGCCTCCAGCCCTCCCATCTTGGGCAGCTGCCCCTCCTTCCCTCTTTGTTGGTAGTGCTGATGGTGGTGTTGGCCGGGTTCGTTTGCTACATTTTTGAATAGAGTGCTCAAAAGGACAGAGAAGAAATGCATCTCAGTGTTACAAAAGACCTTCTGATTGTTTTATGTGTTACCTCTTCCAGGCTATCAGACCCCCAATATTATTTTGGATATTCATCCCGGAGGGAATCACGTGATTGAGGATTCTCACAAAAAGGTACGTTACCCTGCTCGCTCAGCTGACGGCTTACCCAGGTAAAGCTGGGCCATGCTCAGTGTTGCCGTGGTCATAGCAGGGTGTGTGACAGCACTGCTTGGTAAGTAAGTGTCCACTGCAGGGGAAACTGACCCACTGAGTCAGTGCAGGGCAGAGGCTCTCACGCTTGGTAAGGGAGCGCCAGCCAAGAAAGGAGATGACGTCAGCAGTGCAAGCCCTCTGCTTCTGTGCCCAGCAAAAATACCCCTGCCATAACTTGCTGACTTCAGTTGGGTGAAAAATTTAGAACACTGAAATTATACCGCAGAGTCCTTCTGTCTAATTTTAAAATGTGTTTCTTTTAGATCACCGCCCAAATTAAATTCCTGTATGAAGAACTTGGACTTGACAGCACCAGTGTTTTTGAGGATCTTAAAAAATACCTAAAATTCTGAAGTGCTACATACAGCTGGGATTGGGAGAGGCTCTGACATATTCCAGTCTTATTTCCAGTTGGGTTAGCAAAAGTGAGGTTTTAGTTAATAGAGAAGTTTTTACCCGTTGCTTATCCATCCAAGTTGTGCTTAGTCTGCATCTCAGCCACACATGCTGTCCCTTCCACCAGTGCCCACGCCCTCACCCTGGGCGGTTTGCAGGTGGTCTCCTTAGAAGGGCCGGGCCGCCCTCCAGTCAGAACTTCGCCTTTGTCTGCTGTGCTAAGGTTTTCTTTGAACACTTTACAGTCAGTGTCCTCGCTCTTTGCTAGTGAATATTTTTAGTCACCTGTGGTAGTGAGTCACCTTCCAGTTTCTGTGGCTGCATTTTAAGGAGAAAGAGCTTTCTTCAAATTGAAATTCACAGATTTTGAATAATCTTGGGTCCTGCGGGGTTTGGATCATCTCCTATTGATGTTATTTAATATTTACATGACAAGTTCCTCCAAGCGACAGTTTTTTTAAACATTTTATTATTATTTTACACCTCTGAGAACCTTTCCTAAAGCAGTTACATTCAAGTGACAGCAAGTGAGACTGAGTGACCGCTTGTGAAGTCTACCCAGCAGCGTGCTCTGCGTGAAGTCAGACACAAGTGCGGGCGTCAGCGTCTTTGAGAGTTCCCTAGCACACGCTGTACAGTATGTTCAAGGCGCTGGAGTAGCAGGCTCGATTGGAAATAAAGCATCTGTCTCTGAACGCCGCTTGCTGATGCAGGAGATTCTTCGTGTTGTACTCCAGGATTAACCCTTCTCCCTCCTCCAGAGAAACGCCAACCGAGTCAACCTCACTGCGCTCGGAGGCGGGGTTGGTACTTACTCTGACTCTCAGTTTTGTAGGGAGCCCTAAGTTCATTTCCTGTAGATTTAGCAGCGTTGAGTCTCCAAAATTCAGAACCACAAGAAAGACCCTGTCTATGCCGTCCAGCTCCCTTGTGTACACGACAGAGTGGCTGGCGTTGCTCAGAAGGCAGAACCAGCCCCTGTTGATGAGCAGCTCGTTGGCATGAAGTAGACTCAACTCTTGGTACAGTTTCAAAGCCGAACTTGGCTGAGTCTTTTGGACCTGTTTTTTCAAAAGAATATTTACATAAATGTTTGATTCTAGGACTTTTTAAAAAAATATTTTAGTACCTAGTAAGGAATTCCCTCCCCCAGTTGCTTGTGTTCTGCCCCTGAAAATAACTGCCAAATTATATGCATTAATAAGTAGATAGAATAGGTTATATAAAAACTGATAGTGTAGATTCAGCCGTGCAGCTTGTCTGGAAGTCCCGACAAGTTGACTCCATTGTAGAAATTGTGAAACAAGTGTTCACACCCAAAGTAACGTCACTGTGTTTACGTAAGGAACATGACTGGGCTACAGTGTAACTGCCAAGTGCAAGGACAAAACCTACGTGGCCGTGGGCCCTGAGAACCCGTGATGCGTCTGGGCCGACATGATCTCTTCTGTAGGTTAACGCGTAGGCTGCAGCAGACACGTATGTCTTGCACAGCTAATGATGGAACAGAAAGTTTCAAAAGAAGATACAAAGCGAAAAGCTGCTCAAAGGGAAAGATAAAAATTGTAGAGATTGCTTTTACCATGAAAAGATATGGCTGAGTTTATTTTAGATTTGAGTTTATTTTACAGCTAGATAAAACATACATATTCATGTATTTTTCTTACTTTTTCTTCCTGAACGTTTCACACGTCTTGCTCTTATAATATAGCCTTCATAAGTGTCATTTTAATGGTAAATATTCTTTTTAGGGGTACCCGGAATCGAACTCAGGACCCTGTGCTTGCCAGGCAGGTGCTGTGCCACTGAGCTACATCCCTGACCTTAATGATAAATATTCTGTGAAATGGTTACACCATACTTGACATTCCCTTTGTTCCCCCTCCCATATTTTATATTATTTATTTAAGGATAGATTGTCAAGAAGATGATTATGTCAAAGAGTGTGGACTTTTGATGCATAATGCCAAATTATTCTTCATAAGAGCTGTTGCCAAATCAACCATGGTGTTCATTTCACTGTACTTTTGCCGGCCTTGTTGCTGGGTGGTGGTTTTTATTGTTGTTATTGTTCTTTAGGGGTGGATGCTTAATATGTGTCTTCAATGAATATCTCATAGGTGTTTGAAAAAGTGTATTCTCTGTTTATCAGGAACAAATATTTATGGTATATGTATATGACTTGACAGAGTTACTACCAGCATTTTCTGTAGCTTAGGTAATGCATGAAAAGCGCATAGTACAGTTCCAGTCACATGAAAACTGCTCAGTACTAGCTATTTTTTTTGTCTCAAGTCCTTATAATTGTGAATTTGTCAGTTTTCTTCACATTTATCAGAGTATTTGTTTTATATCTTTTGAAGGTACTGTAACATGCATAAAGACTCATGATTGTAGTGGACTATTTTTTTTTTCAAATTTTAAAAATTGCCTTTGCCTCATATAATGCTTTTCATACTGAATTCTATTTTGTCTGCTATTAAAAATTTCCAAGCTTGCTTTTTGTTACTCTGTTTTTTGACTGGGACACCTATGCACACAGTACAAAATTGAGTTGCAAAAGAATACATACAGTGAAAAGGTTTTCTTCAACTGTTTTCTAGCTTTCCGGTTCTCCTCCCTGAGACACTGTTACTGTTTCTGGTCTTCCATTTTCATGTGCCATAGAATTGTGTGCCTCTGCAAACTCAAGTAGACACATTTTCTTCACGCAGATGGTGGCACGTTACCGTTCTGTCTGGTTTTTTATTAATATATATGAGAAATGGTCTCCTGTCAGTTCAGCTCTTCTCATATACTTACTCTTTTTAAAAGCTGAATCCTACTCCCACAATTGATTGGACTGCTTTTCTACTGATAACATGTTAAAAGCATTTTTAGAGTCTTACAAACAATGCTGCTGTCAAGATCCTTGTATATTTATCATTTTGTACATCTGCAAATATTCCTAGATACAGATACCTAGAATATCTGGTCGGAAAGTACATTTTTTATTCTGATGGCTGAGCAGCAAGCTTTCTGTTACTGTTTGCCTGCTGTATCTTTAATTCTTTAGGTCCTTTGTTTTAACTGTGTCTCTTCTATCTGAATTTGGTCTTATTACCTAGTCTTTTTTTTTTTCGTTTTTCTCTGGTACCGGGAACCGAACTCACGACCTTGTGCTTGCCAGGCAGGCGCTTTTGCCGCTGAGCTAAATCCCCAGCCCCATTACCTAGTCTTTTGATAGGTAAATTTAACTTCTTCATCTTTGTGATTACCGTATGTTCAGCATAATCTCAAATTTCTTACTTTATCTTTGATAGTTTTGTTTGGGTTCTTTGCCTTTTTAAAAGCCTTTTTACTGGATCCGTGGTTTATGTAGGTTGTTTTCCTTCTAATGTTCTTTGAAAATGTTTGCCCTTCTATTGGTTACTCTTAAAATTATAATGACCTTTTAATACAAGTTTTTGTCAACATCCAGAACAAGGAGTGCTCAGGTGTCAGCGTGACACGGGAACTGAGGTTTCAGTTGTTCGCACTTAACAGTCACCACGGTTACAGGGCACCCAACCGCTCAAGTCTAGACTTACTCTTTTTCCACCCATGAAGAAGATGAATGAACGTTAGCCTGCCTGCACACACATCGCTTCTCCGCCTACCCCTCTCTACCACTTGCCGTGTAGAAATAAGTCACTAATATTTTTGTGCTAGAATACATTGTCCACACTGTGCATCAAAAATTAAGCAGGGCATGATGGCACATGCCTGTAATACTGTACCAGATTTGTGGCACTGAGGCAGCAGGTTTGCATATTCAAGCCCAGCCTGGGTAACTAGTGAGACCCTGTCTCAAAATTTGAAAAGGCTATGGATGTAACTCAGTGAAGGAAGATGATAGATGATAGATAAATAGATACTCTGTTTTATTTTCAACTGGATTTTTTTTTTATTGGTTTGTTGGTGGTGTGTTACTTTGCTTACAGTACCGGGGATTGAACCCAAGGACCATTGAACTGCATCTCTAGCCCTTTTTAATTTTTATTTTGAGAAAATGTTTTACTAAGTTGCCTGGGCTGGCCTCAAACTTGAAATCCTCCTGCCTCAGCCTCCCCAGTAGATGGGATTATAGGGGTGCATCACCATACCGGGTAGCTATCCAAGAATCCTTGGAAGTGCTTGGAGTGGGGGATTTGTGAGAACAGGAGGGTAGTATGGAGTTATGTATCAGAGGAACCCTGGGAGTTTCCACAGATTACTTAGACATTTGGACTGGAGAATTATAAATGTGTTAGGCATCCTCATACAGTGCAGATCAATTCTCTTCCCCTAAACTGATGTAGATTGTTTTCCAGTGAAATTTTCACTCGTGCATAACACTGGTTCTTGACCAGTTAGGACAGAAAAAAGTACAGGCAAAAGCCAAAGGGTGTGCTTTTCTAGAAGAGTGAGAGAGAACTCCTGCCTTCTGTTTGTTCAGGAAAACAGCCTTGCTTTCAAATCCACATTAACGAGGCGGCGATGACTCAGCCTGTCCGCCCACCTCGCTCCTGCCTTTTGAGGGGAAGAGAAGGAAGGGTAGCTGAGCCAGTCACTCCAAAGAAGAGCTGTATATTAATGATTTTTCAGGTGGCAAGCTTGTGGTCCAGTTCGTATGTTCACAAAAGCATGATTTGCAAACTTCCTGCAAATAGAACTACAAGGGAGGCCTGTGAGGGAGTTAAAGAACGTCACTGGCCACGGTTTTAGACACACGGGGTGAGTATGTGCCGTCCATTCCAGAAGCTCATTCTCTGTTTCTAAAGTCAACATAAAATCGCCCTCGGAACTCACCTGGACGTTGACAGTGTGGTAATCGGAGTTGGCAGGTAACCAGGTGTGATTTCCTTCAGAAAACCCAGCGTTCGAACTGTTGTCCCACTGCATGGGCGACTTCGAAAGGAGAGTACTCTGTCAGAAGGCCAGAAGGACAGAGCAGTTGTCGGTTATTAATAGTTAAATCCCCTTTGCTGCTTCGTGATTTACCTCATCGCCGTTCAGTTCCCTGTAGTTCTTAGCCCATGCCTACGTTACGCCTTAGCCAAGGCTAGACGTTCAGGGCACAAGCCAGTTTTGTGCTTGTCCATGGGAAAGGGCGAGTAGCCCCTTGGGTTTGAATAGACTACAGTGACTGAACTCTCACATGATGGTCATTTTTTCTGCCCTTCCCTAAAAGTGAACAGTAGGATTTCAAATCGTGCCGTTACCAATTCATGCTACTTCACCCCACTGGGTTGCGCTGCTGGTGAATTCTGGAACACTGCCGGCTACCAGTGAGCCTGAACCTGCCTGGCCCATTGCTCCGGTGTGGTTATTCCACCTGAGTGCGCACACACAAACTTGGCTGATAGAGAAGTTTCATCGTAACCAAATATTTGGGAAATTAGGTCCCGTGCAAGGGAGAGCTAACCATCCAAATTAAAGGTTCAGGATCAGCTGTCTACCCAGCCACACAATTGTGAGGGCCCTGGCTTAGACAAAAGCAGAATGGGAGCCACCCAACATGGGTGCTGGGTTACACTTGATAAAAAAACAAAAAAAAAACCCAGCCTCTGTGCTGTGTTCCTAGGGCTCACCTGGGATCTAGCGGGTTAAATAAAAACTAAAAAGCATTATCTCTCCATATTCTGGCCAAGATCAATGAACACTGCAAACAAGAGCACTGGTTCTCAAATTTCAGTGCCTAAGAAGCAGAAAACATTTAAAACGCAGAATCCTTGGCACTTCTCGAGAAGTTCATTTGTGTGGCTTAGAAAACAATATTTTTAATAAACTTCCCCACCAAGACAGCTGGTAAATCTTACAGTCTAGCCCTAAGAAAGAAAAGCAGCTGGTCATGGTGGTGCACACCTGTAATCCCTGCACTCTGGGAGGCTGAGGCAGGCGGATCGAAAGTTTAAGCCCAGCATGGGCAATTTAGCATCATATTAAGATTCAAAAACTAAAAGGACTTGGGGATGGTAGCTCACTGTGAAGGTTCAGGTTCAGTGTGCAATTTCAAGAAAAAAAAAGGGTGGGTGGGGAGGAAAGAGCGAAAACCAAGTGCCTTAGTTCACAAGCTGAATTCACTCCACATTCTGAGGAAGACAGCCGTGAGCACGCCCCTCCAACGTGGAGCTTGCGGACGGAGGCAGATTTTTACCGAACACTTCTGGTTGAGAACCAAATTGTTCGCAAACAAACGTTCTTGAACTGAGGTATTCCTGTACTTGACTTTTTGGCTATGGAGCGAGGTTAAATTGATTACACTTACAGTATCATAGCTTTCGTTGATATTTATGGCTGAAATATCCCTCATCCCTATTTCCTCCCCATAGTAAGTGATAGGTGTTCCGGGAAGTGTAAAAAGCAGCATGTTCATGGTGTTGACGTATTGGTTCCCCAAACGAGAGGTCAGCCGAGCACTGTCCGGTCCACCAGTCTGAAAGGCAGATGTTTGAAAAAATCACAGCAGTATCCACAGTTTTCTGGAAGATCTACCCCACTTTACAGCAAGTTCGCCAAGCGGAGGAGCAGCTGTGGGATGGTGGCAGTGGAAAGCCTGGATTTGGGTCCCAAGCCTACTGCTTGCTGTGGAGTTGATCTGTTTACCTTACAACCACTGAGAATTTGTCAAGAGAACTCATGATGGCATTGTATATGAGGTAAACTGCAGAGGCTGGGTGTTCATGTTACACCCGGGTAAGAGCCTACCTGATGTTTCCTCGATGAAAGAAAAATGTCTTTTCATGAAAAATGTTTCTCGGTGAACAAGACAAGGAACAAAGTGGGAAGTGTGAGGCAGAAGAGGCACTTCAGTTATGTCCCTTTTATTAACTTTGAACAACTCAAAACACTGTAAAGGTAAATCAGTGTTTATGAAGAAAGTAGTCAAAAAGGAAAATTTTTTTTTTGGTCTTTTTTTTTGAGACAGGGTTCGCTATGCAGTTTAGGCTGACCTAAATCCTCACAAGAATCCTCCTGCCTCAGCCTCCCCAGTGCTGGGATTACAGGCGTGTGCCACCATGCCCAGCCTAAAAAGGAAACTTCTAAAGCTGTTTTACATATACGTTAACTGCTGTAATTGTATATAACACTACCACTCGGATTGTTGAAGTCACCAGACACCTCTTCCCATAAAACCACAACTCAATTCTCATTGCATATGCTGAGGAAAGCACTTGTACCTTATTTCCCACCTGTCACAAAACTACCGAATACAGTATTATGTTCTTTTTACAAAGGAAGAAACAAGCTCTGAGAAACTGTATCATTATTCAAGTCACAGTATGATACTCTGAGAAAGAACCAGGCTTTTTTTTTTTTTTATGGTACTGCGGATGGAATCCATGAGCACGCTACCACTGAGCTATACCCCTAGCCCTTTTTATTCTTTATTTTGAGATGAGGTCTCAGTTGCCCAGGATAGCCTTGAACCTGTGACCATCCTGCCTCAGCCTCCGAAAAAGCTCAGATTATAGGTATACACCACCACATGTGGTTAAAAACCAGCCTTTGAACTTGAGTTTTATTTATTTTTGAGGGGTACTAGGAATCGAACTCGGGACCTCACACTTGCCAGGCAGGTGCTGTGCTGCTGAGCTATATCCCTGGCCCTGAGCTTGAGTCTTAGAAGAGGAACTTGATTATTACAGTTCAGAAAAAACGTTGCTTCCTGAGATGGCCCAAAATAATGGTCATAATCATATCTTCATAAGCCATTTAAGGTACTTTTCCAATTCTATGGCCAGAAAATTAGATCAGATTTTGCCTCCAGCCTTATTCTTTGGTCTTCAGATCTGACAACAGACCATATAATTTGTCAAGCCTTCTACACACACTCTTTCAAAATTAAAGTCCAGAAAGATTTCCGTAATTAGCAGCGATGAAAACAGAGCCCACTTTTTTCATTGCTAAAACTAAATTGTGGCAGGGGGCACTTCCAGAATGGCAGAATGAAAACCTCTGTAACAGCAAGGTGAATGGCATGAAAACTGTATTTTAAAAAAACTATTCTTTTCATAACTTGAAATTAACTAAAGGCTGCAAGAATCCAAGATGAATTTACCAAGAAAAACAGCTGGATCTCAGAAGTGAGATTTGTGGTATTTTATCTTCCTTTGATCTCATGCCCATTTCTCAGCTCCATGACAGCTTTGAAAGCCAACAGCCTCACTGCTGGGCGTGGTGGCACATGCCTATAATCCCAGCACTTGGGAGGCTGACGCAGGAGGATCCTTGTGAGTTCGAGACCAGCCAGTGCTACAAAGTGAGCTCAAGACCAGCCTGAATTGTATAGCGAGACCCTGTCTCAAAAAGACAAAAAAAAAAAAAAAACCAGCCTCACAAATACAGTAGCAGAAAGCCAGCAGTCTAACAACTACTGGAAGACAGAATGGGTTTAAGGTTCACCAAAGACTCAGCTATGCAGAACTGTCACTATACAAATTTTCTGGCATCTCCTTTTGGGTGAATGTTTTCTTTAAAATCTGACACAGAACCAACTCTGTGCAAATAGCAACAGCCATATCCCCAGAAAACTTATTGAAAACAACAGTTCCAAGTTAGACCTGCCTATAGTGGAACTAGCAATTAAGGCTAACAAGAGGCAACACAATAGCAACAAAACAAAAACAAGAAAAAGCTGGAAAATGAGATGTTCACGAAAGGCTTGAACAGTTCCAGCATATTCCTGGGAATCTAGAAGACTACATTTATGTGCAGGACTGTATGCATGATGAGGGCTGTACAGATGGCCAGGGAAGACCTGAGAAGGCTGTCACCTGTCACCTCTGGCTAATCAGGCTCTGAGTAAGCAGAAAGTAGCGTGGCAAAGTTGTAAAGTGAGTAGCAAAGCATGGAAAGGATGCCCAGCAAACACAGAGCTTTTGGCAATAAGACTCCTCCACTCCGAGCATGTGAGGAAGCTCTACAGTCATTAGCCCTGACAACACAGAATAAAGAATACAGACTTTACAAATTTAAGTAAAGAAGAAAAGTAGTAACAAGAACAACTGCCAAGAAGGGAAACTCATGATTTCTAGAATTGTCCTATTGTGGATTAACTGATGGTCAACTTGTAACACCAGCTGAACTGAATCAGCGTGGTGCTCGGTGCAGAGGGCCCACCTGAGGACCGTTGCCAACAGCATAAAAGGAGAACTGGGGGGAAGATGCTAGTGCTGCTGATCCTCCTGGAGAAGCTTGTCATGCTGGTTTTCCTGATATGAACTCAGTTGTAATCATCATCGAAGGGTCCTCGCTGTCGCTGAGGATGGCTGCTGTACCTTGAACATCACTTCCTGGCTCCAGTGCAGATCCCTCAGCCTGCTGACACAGACCCTTCATCCCACTGGCACAGACTTTCTAGCTCCAGCACTGGCCTTTTGGCCTTCCCAGTGCAGATCCTTGATACAGACTTGCATGAGACATTGTTGTAGGCTCTAGACCTCTACCTGGACTCGTGTAGGAAATTGCCATGGGATCCAGGCCCTCAGCTGGATTCTTTGGGTCTCTAGTGTGTGGACAGATTTCCTGCACTTTTGCATTTGACTCTTTAGGTGACTATTATAAAATAATCCTATAAGGGGCTGGGGATTTAGCTCAGCAGCACAATGCCTGCATGGCAAGTGCAAGGTCATGAGTTCAATTCCCGGTACTGGAAAAAAAAAACATAAAATAATCCTATAAATTGTGTGTCCTGTATTAAATCTTTTCCCTTGTAAATCCTGACTACAGTACCTATTTATTACTTAAAATGTCCAGTTTTCAGCATGTTAGGGAACAAAAATATGGCCCATACATTGGGGAGAGGGCAGACAACAGAAGATGTTGCTGAGGAAAATCAAGCATTGGACTTACTGGACAAAAGACTACATCCACGTTAATACATGTGTTCAGATAACTAAGCATGTTTAAGGAACTTAAAGATGGTGTGGGAACAGTGTGATGAAATAGATAATATCCATAGATATGATGGGGGGAAAACAAATCGAAGTTTTGGAGTTGAAAGGCACAAGAAGAGAAATTAAAAGTCCCTTAGTAGGGCTTGACAGAGGGCAAAGGAATCAAAACACGAAGACAGGTCAGTAGCGAGCACTAGACTGAGAACCAAATAGAAAAGAATGAAGAAAAATGACCAGTGTCTCAGCTCTGTGTGACACCATCATGCCTACCAACATCTGCATAAGGGGTGTCCCAAAAGGAGAAGAGAGAGAGAAATGGACAGAAATAATGTTTGAAAGAATAATGACCAGCCAGGCGTGGTGGTGCCTGTAATCCCAGCACTCGGGAGGCTGAGGCAGGAGGAACGTTGCAATTTCAAGACCGGCCTGGGCTACAGAGTGAGCTCAAGGCCAGCCTGAACTGCATAGTGAGATGCTGTCTCAAAAAGACCAAAAAAAAGAAAGAATAATGACCAACAACTTCCCAAATTTGGTGAAAATCTGCTCATCCAAGAACCTTGTTGGGTTCAAGTAGGAAAAAATAAAGATTCCCACCTAAACATATCAGTGAACAGTCAAAAGGCATGGAAAAAATATTGAAGGCAACAAGGGAAAATCAACACATCATGCATAGGGCCTCAACAACATCAGCAACTGAATTCTCAGCACAAATCATGGAAGCCAGGTGCAAATGAATAAAAGAAAAACTCCACCAATATCTATACCCAGTAAAACTATTCTTTAGTAATAAAAGAGACATGAGATACTGCTTCTACCTGCTATGATGGATATGATTTTTTTTTTTTTTTCAAAAAAAAACAAAGTAAAGCTGGGATTGGTGATGCACTTCTGTAATCCCAGCACTCTGGGATGCCGAGGCAAGAGAATGTCAAGTTTGACCACAGCCTGGGCAACTTCGCAAGACCCTGTCTCAAAATAAAAATAAATAAAAAGGGCAGGGGCTATAGCTTATTGCAAGGGTTCTGTCAATCTCCAGTACCAAATCAATCAATCAGTCAATCAATAACAAAAGTTGGCAAGGATGTACAAGAAATTACAACCTTCACACATTGCTGATGGGAGTGTAAAATGGGGGAGTCAGTGAAAAACAGTTTGGCAATTTCTCAAAAAAACAAAACAAACCCACAACTCCACTCCTAGGTAAGTATCCAGAAGAAGTGAAAGGAAGAACTCAAATAGATACTTGTACATAAAATGTTCATAGCATTATTCCAATAGCCAAAAGGAGGGAATATCCCAAATATCTGCCAAGACATCAATGGGTCAACTAAATCTGGTATGCACATAAAATTGAGTATTACTTAGCCATAAAAAGAATGAAGTTCTGATACATGCTATACATAAATCTTAAAAACATTCCGTATGCTAAGTGAAGTAAATCAGTCACAAAAAGACAAGTAATTGTATGATTCCACTTACCTGAGGTACCTAGGATAAGCAAATTTATAAACACAAAAATAGAATGGAAGACACAAGGGCTCAGAGTGGGAATAAGATACTATGGTTTGATGGGAATTGCTTTTCTGTGTGAAATTATGACCAAGTTCTGGATTTGTTGTTGTTGTTGTTGTTTTGTTTTTTATTTTTCATTTTTCTTCAGTACCAGGAATTGAACTCACGACCTTGCACTTGCCAGGCAGGCACTTTGCCGCTGAGCTAAATCCCCAGCCCCTATGACCAAGTTCTGGAAATGGATAGTGGTAATAGTTGGACAACACTGTGAATGTACTTAATATGAAAATAGTAAATTTTAGCACAGTAAAAAGCAGAAAATAATCCTTGTTAATCTACATTAAACTACTAGAAACTAATTAAACAAGTTCAGCCATGTTGTAGGCTACAAGATCAATATACAAAACAATTGTATTTTTATATACTAATAGTGAGCAATCCAAAAGTAAAATCCGGGGCTGGGGATTTAGCTCAGCGGCAAAGCGCCTGCCTGGCAAGCGCAAGGTCGTGAGTTCGGTTCCCGGTACCGGAGAAAAACCAAAACCAAAAAAAAAAAAAACAAAAAAACAAAAGTAAAATCCTAAGCTTATAATGTGACTGGAACAGGAACGCATAGCTTAAAAGTAGGCAAAAGAAAAGGGTTACTGCTGGAGAGGAAAAAAAAGAACCTCCAAGAAAATTCACAGTGAAGGGTTTGGCAAAACCTTTGTAGACAAGTGCCTTAAAAAGTTTAGACCTCAACATAAAGGTTTTCAAAAATAAAGATGAATGAATGATACCAGGCACAGTGGCACATGCCTGTAATCCCAGTGCTTGGGGAGCTACGGCAGGAAGGTTACAAGTTTTGAGTTCCACCTGGGCAATTTATTGAGAACTTTTCTCAAAAATAAAAAGGACTTAGGATGTAGCTCAGTGCAAAGGCCCTGGGTTCAAGCCTCAGGGTCCCAAGAATGAATGAATGAATGAATGAATGAATGAATGAATATACTGTATTATGTTCATGGTACTTGATTTGCTTACAAGCAAATCTATGGTGAAAAAAGAAAATGAGGCAAAGGACCTGAGGTAGGTCCTTCAGGAAAGATTCCAGACAAAGGCATCATTATCACAGGAGACACCAGCTCCACACGTGTCACTGTCCCTGCTGCCTGCCCAGTGGGACAAGATATGAAGGCGGAAGACAGTGATACTGAGGATCCCGGCCCTGAAATGTGTGTTTCTGCATCTTAGCTTTTAACAAAGAAGATTTTAAATGTTAAAAAAAGGAAAATAAATTTTTTAAAAAGAATATAGAACAAGGATGTAGAGGGCTGGGGATATAGCTCAGCAGCACAAGTGCCTGCCTAGCAAATGTAAGGTCCTGAGTTTGATTCCCAGTACAAAAAAAAAAAAAAAGAAGAAGGATACAGAGAAAAAATTTTGCCCTACCACATAATGTATTTGTGTTTCAAGCTAAGGGTAATTGCAGAGTCAAAAGCTTAAAAATACTTTAAAGCTTATGAAGAATTTAGAGTAATTCTAAATTCCTTAGAATAATTCTAAGTTGGAAAAAGAAAATTTAGTGTAAATGTAATGTGCCCTAAGTGTACAGTGCTTACGCTACCTGTGGTGGGAGACAGCCTTGTACTGAGCCCTCACAATCATTCACCGCTGACACAACCCACCCAGCGGGACTGCCGGCCCGCGGTCTCTGTGCATGGTAGGTGCCCTACAGAGGTGTGCCATATTTTATCCTGTAGGCCGTATTTTTTCTGTACCATTTCTGCGGTTAGATAATCAAATAATTACCACCGGGTTACAGTTGCAGTAACCTGCTACGCAGGCCCGTAGCCTGGAAACAATAAGCCATCCCAAATAAGACAGACTCTCTGGGGCTTAAATGCCTGCTGCACCCCATGCTACCCTATAATTTGGTATTTAGTCACTGTTTTACATCCATCCTGAATTTCTGTGGAAGCTTCCCACCTGTGAAATCCTCTTTCTTCCAACTAAAGTAGGGGGATAGGTGGGGAGGAACGGTGATTTGATCCGTCCCCAACAAAGCCTAGCAGAGTTCTGAGCACAGGCAAATCCTCACTGAGCATTCAGGGACAGTGTCTCTCCCTGAGTGACAAGAGCCGGCCAGAGACTGGGACAGGCCTCACTAAGCAACCACCAAGTAAGTAGACTGAGGGTCACTTAGAGACAAAGTCTGCGTCACTGTGGAGGTGCCTGTGCAACAAGCGCAGTAGCACAAGTCCCTGGCCACCAGGACTTACCATCCAGTTAGGCCACTTTCCTTCCGGCATGTTTCCCATCCAGGATAAGATAACCTCATGCACAAGGTTCCCAGACAGAGTGTGTAGGGTGGTAAAGTAGTTGTTGAACGGGAAATCAGCTTCTTGGACGAATGGCAGCCCATAGTACATCATGGTCCTGTCGATGCTCTCTGCGGAGGCTCCGGTCCCCATGAACCTGTAAGAGTCGGCAGGGCTCCAGGTTAGCACCACATGTCGGGAGACTGAGAAAGACTGGGAAGCCACTTAGCTCTTATTTATAAGATGTGGGGTCCAAGTGCGAATTGCTAGCAGAGAAGGCCCAGGCTTAATAGAAAGCAGTCACGGCAGGTGGCCAAGAGAGGTGGGTCATCTGAGCAGTCTCTCCTTGAAATAAACCCAAAAAGTGGCCTAATATTAAACCACACCTAAGAAATAAGAGATACATTTGGCCCTCAACCAATATTGCCACTACTGTTCTCTACTTTCTAAATCAGATGAAAACCCAGTAGCATCTTTGTAATTTTGGAGGGAGGAGTGTTTTTTTGGTTTGGTTTGGTTTGGTTTTTGGTTTTTCAAGACAAGAACTCACTATGCAGCTCAGGCTGGGCTTGAACTCACTTTGTAGCCCAGGCTGGCCTGGAACTCACAGCGATCCTCCTGCATCAGCTTCCTGAGTGCTGGGATTATAGGTGTGCGCCACTACAAGTTCAAGTAGCAACTCTGAAGACCTACCTTAACAATTCTCATCATTCCTATTTAGAATTTGTCACATTTTTTCTGACTGTAATACAAGGGGTTTTTACCCCCCACAAATTACCCTTGTATTTGAACCTTGTCAATTCTCATCTTATTATTGATATACACTCTCAGTTACTGAAAGCCAAACAATCAGAAAGACACCCTCACCTAAAATGACCCCGTCAATACCTGCCCCATATATAAAATCTCATTTAACCTCACAATAGCCATAGAGAGGTTATTAGTATTACCTTTTTATTGATGAGAAAACAAGGTTAACTAGCCGGCCCTGGGTCACACAGCCATGAGCGGGACTCCACTGCAGTCTCATGTGACTGCCGAGCTGCGCTGCCAGCCTCTGTGACCTACTGACCGTTTAGCTGAAACCTTTGGATTAACACCACACAGGGGCCTATAAGCCCAATGATAATGATAGCAATAGTTCAAGGCTAACATTTAATTAAAATATTCTCTATCAATTAATTTTCACACAACTCCTGAGAAGTAAGTGCTGTGATTAGCAACATTCCCCAAAAGCAGAAACCAAAAATCAGTGAAATAAAGCAACAGGCGAGGATGTATCAGACCTGGCAACACTGAGGGGTTTGTAAACTGTAACCTGGACCTCTGAGTATGGCTGGTTGGGAGGAATCATCTGCAGACCATGCACTGCACCTGTGAGATCCTGCATGTACCTGTATCTGCCGGGCTCCCGGCTGTACTGGTCCATGGTCTGCCGGAAGCTCCGGACAATGTCGTGCATTCCCACCTGGGTAGCGGTGAAGTCATGGTACAACTCTGAGTAGCGAGTAACAGTGTCCTTTAAAAACCAGGACAGCACGATTACCATCATGTGCATAAGAGGGTTTCTTCAAAGCGCTCAAAGTGAGCAAGATACACTCGAAGATAATCCTAGGGCCTTCACTGCTCAGGAATCTGTGGACAGAGAATGCTCACAACTACCAGTAATTAATTTGACTCTGTAATTATTAACCTTGTGAGTTTCATAAACAATAAATAGTTCTCTAGCATTTTAACAAACTAAATTTTACTGAACAGCAACACATTGCTCACAAACATATTTCACAAAGTGCTCCTAAACATGTGATTGTCTAAAATGAACACTTGGGTGGAAGAGGAGGCTATGGTGGTGGAGGAGGTGGCCGCAGAGTTGGTAATGGAGGGGGTAACAGTGCAAATGATGGCAGTGGTCCTGGTTACAGTAGTAGTGGTACAGGGTAGGACGCGGGTGAACCAGGATATGGAACCCAAGGTGGTAGATGTGGAGGAGGAGGAGGATGGTTACAGGGGAGGAAATTCTGCAGGTGGGAACTATCGTGGTTCCCATATAATTTTGGAAATTATAGTGGACAACAGCAATCAAATTATGGACCCATGAAGGGGGCCAGTTTTGGTGGAAGAAGCTCTGGAAGTCTCTGGGGTGCTGGTTATGGATCTAGTGGTGGAGGTGGTGGAAGTGGCATTTTTAAAAAGTCAAGCAGAAAGGGCTACAGTTCTCAGCAGGAGAGAGAGCGAGGAGGAGTCAGGAAAGCTGCAGGTGGCTTTGAGACAGTCCTCCCAAATGCACTGGAGGCACTGTAAAAACCTGCCACAGAAGGGACGATGAAGAGCCATAGTCAGAAAAGTTACTGTGGCTTAAGTGGGAAACCCTTCTGGTTCAGGACCGGCACAGCCACAGTTTGCAAAAAGTGCAGCTACCCATTAGAGCGATGTGGTGTCAACTGGATGCACATTCCTGAGGGATTCCTGTTGTAGCTTTGCCTTTTTCTTTCTTTTCATTACATCAGGTACATTGCCCTGCCCATTGTGGGATACAGGAATAAAAATATTAAGGAATTTTTAACTTAAAAAAAGGTATACACTGTATAACAATTTCAGGGGTTTTTTACTAAGCACTGCATTGCTAAGATTCAGCCATACTGCTATGTGTTGCTGTAGTTCATTTATTTTGATTAACATATAACACTCTATTGTGTGAATGTAAAACCCAAAACCATCACTCTGCGTGTATTTTAGAATTATGGTCTACTTTGCCATTGAAAATATGGCAACTATAGAGCGGTGATCAACCAGAGGAATAATATGTGTGAATGCCATCTGTGACGTGTGACCGGGGCGGGGAGGTGGGGGGAGGTTCGGAATCACTGAGGTGGAACCCCAAAGAGCTCAGTGTCTGTCGTGAGACAGCACACCTGGTCAGATTTCTATTTACCACTTCTCTAACGCTTGATAATAGAAGTTAACTTCCTCAGTTTTGCTAAATGAGGATCCTGACCCCTGTCTCTTAACATATGGAGAGAGTTAAGTGAAATATCCCAAGGAAAAGATCACAGACACAGGACACGTGGCCAGCCTTGGTTCCCTTCTCTTCCATCTGTGTGTTCCTGAACAACTGGGACTTGAGGTGTCCTCCCTTGAGTTGGATGAAATGACAAAATCTCCATGAGCAAATTGCCCTCCGTACTGTGGTCCTCAGTAGAGTGGACAGTGTCTGTGTTCTCAGAGCCCTTGTTACTGAAGGGCTCTTCATGAGATCCCTCGCTCTGAAAAGAACCAGTGGAAGGAAGGATCTGGGCATGCGCATTAGAAACTCCCCTGCTTCCTAAAAAAGTTGGCTCAAAGTACTTCCTACAGATTGCACAGAACTTATCTTTGAAATGGTAAAAAAAAAAAAAAAAAAAAAGAGAGAGAGAGAGAAAAGAAAAGAACATTCTTATAACATTTTTTTTTTTAAAGTCGAAAAAGTTTGAAACTTTACCGGACTTTGGGACTTATTGACTTGGATCTCATCTCTCAGGTCTTTTGCTTCCAAAAGAAATTTAACCGCATCGAAACTAAAGCCATCGACACCCTTCGTGAGCCAGAACTGTATTATTTCCTAAATATGGAGCAAAATGCATGGTTACATTAACTACACATTATTGTCATGACATTTAAGAAAGGCTTTGTCTGTGAATGACTTTCCATCATAAAATGGATGTCTCTGCATAAAAAACAAGCAACAGTGTCCATGTAGTCTATTTTCATCTACTTAGCAAAACTGAGTCAATGAACTCTCAAGTCACTGCATTCAGGGACTTCCACACCTCCCTCATAGCTGCATTTAGAATTACAGTTAACCCGCAGCCCCACGAGGGAGGAGGGACGAGGCCTCGCAGAGCCCTGGAGACACTGAGAGGGGCCAGGCAGGGGCGCGAGTGACCTGCCCCATGTCCTTTCACTCAAGCCACCAGCTGCACTGCAAACCTCTGACTAATGAAGGAAACTTGAAACTGGGAAGTGTAACAGTCTAAACGGCCATGGGCACAACGATAAAGGCGGCAATTAGGAAGCCCCTAGACCACACGGATCCCGATGTGCCACGCTCTGCAGGACAGAAAGTGTAGCTGCATAGATCTGGGAGATCCTCCAGAAATTTCTTCCTATGGGAGATCGCCATAAAGTCAACGTATGTGAAACCAGCAATAACATTGTAGTCTACAAAGGAGATTAATGCTTAGGGACTTTTTAAAGTTAATTTTATTGGTACATTTCAGATATACATAATATTAACATTCATCATGGGGAGTTTGTACCTGTACGTGTATATCCTGATTTTTTCCAATTCCCTTCCCCTCCCTGCAACCCCTCTCCTCTCCTTGTTTATAAAAGTCTTGTTTTTATTTTTCTTTCTGTTCTCTTTTTTCCTTTTCCCTTCCTTCCTTTTCCCCTCCCTCCCTGATATCCCTCTGAACATTTTCTTATTTCACAATGTCTATTTTACATAACTGTTAGGGATTAGCATTGGAAAAAGCCCAATTTTTTTCCATATTTGGAAAGGTTCTTTATCCCCTTTAAATATGAAGCAGTAGTCACATAATTACCCCTACATCATGTTGTGGGGTGCCTGATTTACTGAAATCATTGTAAGACCTGTTATAAATTTGTCTATTTTAAAATTACATGTGTAATGTATCCTATCTTTTTTTTCTTTCTTTCTTTGGTGCTAGGAATGAAATCTCAAGGTTACATTTACAAAGTATATAGTCTACCACTGAGCTATATTCCAGTTCCTCTGAATATCATTTGAATTATCTTTTATCTGTAAGTTAAAAATCACTTCATTTTCAACAAAATATTTTTGCATGGAATTATTTGAAAACAAAAGAAATCTATTTTTCTGAATTCTTATGATCTCATTTTCAGTATTCGTATTTTGCTGGTAAAATACACATGGTAGAAACATTTGTACAATATACAGTAGATGAATCATAAAATATAAAATTTAGATGACAACAAAAGAATTACAAGGGACACGGGCATAATTCAGGCAGAAAACTGGTCATTAGCACGCTGGAGATGGACGGCTGAGAGGTAAACAGACAGCAAAGAAGATATTAGCCATCTGTAAGATCCAACCAGGCTTGTGGCTTTAAATTTTAACTCAAGAGAACACATTTCTAAGCGTGCTAAGGTCAGGGCCCATATAAAGTTCAGACTATTTATGGGGGTGGGAAACACCTTGAGGTCTCAAAACAAACTAAAGGGAGACAGCCGCCTGAGGAGTACACAGGGACTCCTCCTCTCTCAAGCAAATAAACACGGCCCATTGTGTTTGAACAAGGACAGTAACACGGCACGGATCACTGCAGGGAGGGGAAAGAGGCAGAATCCTGGACTGCCGCCCACTGCTCCTTAAAAGTGGGATTTGCATTTTCTCTTGGTACAGTCTGGGACTTGGAAACCACTTTTGCTAAGAACCATGTGACTCTTCACTCGGGCCTACAGATGCTCAGCAGGTAACTAGAAACATGACAAAGTTAGACTTCATTTCGTAGCCTTTGTTCCTCTAAATCGTGGGTCAAATCTCTTCTCAGCTCTGCATATGGGTATGTTACACAAGGTTGAGGAGCCCAAAATGTACATGTTCTCTCTCACCCCATTCAAGATGGAGGACACCAGGATGGGAGGTTTCCAGGGACACCCACTCTGGGTAACTTACTGAGATCCTGTCTCAAAATCAGAGTGAAAAAGGAGCAGGGCTGCAGTTCAGTGTGAAGGCCCCTGTGCTCAGTCCCCAGTACAATACAAAGCAAGTTGCCGGGAGAGCAGGAGGGAGAAAGGGAAGGGAGTGCAGGCTAAGCCCGGATCCTGTGACCGTGTACCTTCCACTGGGAGCTAGCACAGGGGAAGGAAGAAGCTGGAGTGTCCGTGTTTGAGTGTCTGGCATATGAGTTGGTGGAAATGCTGAGGAGACCAGGGGCTTGTTCAGCCTGGACCTTAGGGTAGAGGTTCTGGCTACAGATGGGCACTGGGGGGTCATCAACCCACAGGCAGTGTTTGCTAAATAGCTCTGCCCTCGTGCCAGGAATGCAGGTGAGCACAGCAGGAACAGCGCCCGCCCACCCTTTGTTGAAATTGGGCAATGAGCCGTGGTCATGAAGGGCTCCTCCACCTGACTGGGAGATCCTGGGCAGCAAGACTGGCTTTGGGGCCCCTTCCCCTTCCCCCGCCTCCGACACAGCACTGGTGCTCAGGAACCACCAAAGATGTTCAAGGGGTTTGGAGCGGGGATGGGGAATGCTTGAGGGCAGTATGTCCCATTGCTCTTCTTTTCTCATTCTGAATAAACCATTCAGTTTTCCATGCTTAATTTTGGACTTTTTTTTGTTTTGTTTTTACAATGGTGAGACTCAAACCCAGGGCCTCACATATGCAAGGCAAGTGCCCTACCACCGAACTGTACCCCTAGCCCAATTCTGTACTCATAATTTTTTAAAAGGTCTCCATTTTTATAAGCATCAGATCCCACATGGTCTGGGTCACCCCTAGGCAGCCTTTGCTTCTGAAGAATTAACACTGGTCAAGGCAGAGCACAGAGAGCTCCAAACATCCAAACAGCCGCTGACAAGAGTGGGAAAGGATGACGGCCCGCGCTGCCGGACACAGTAAGCTTTGGACGCTGGCTTTGGAGAAGCAAGCTAGTCCTCGTCCTCACGGGGCCGCACTTTGTCTCCGCGTTGCTAAATACTGACCTGCCCCTAAAGAGAGAACTGTGCACCCTAGTGGAGGTTTACGGCCCTGGCATACATGGAACTGTCATCCTATCCTGCCTTGTCATTTATTTGAATAAACCATTTTAAGTGCTGACATTTTAACCCAAATAATCCAAAGTTTACTTTTAAAAAAACTATTCCTTCATGTTCTCAACCAAGGGAGAAAAAAGAGCTCCAGAGTTTAATTGTTAACCCTCTCCACTCTAACGAAGCTCTCCCAGGGTACTAGAGGAGAAAATGGGCACAGAGCCTGGTTCCGACTCACCCATGTGGACGTCGAGGACGCTGGGGCAGCACGCTGTGTCCCCACCCGTCCCCTAACCCCTATGACATTACACTGCCCCGGCCTTTCCTCTGGGCATCTTTTAATTATTTTCTCTTAAAACAACACACTGCTCTGAGTGAAAAAGAAATCAAGTTGGCAGTAATGATGTCCGCACTCCCTGAGGTCGTGTTTTTGAGATGGCTGAAGTTACTGGACCATTTACCTAAAAAACCAAGTTTGGGAAAGAGAAAAAGCTCTGCTCTTCCCTATGACGATGATCCTTACAAATGACTCAAACTTCAGGTTGTCCATCTTAAGAAGGAACGAGGAAGTATAACGCAGCTCACGAGCACAGAGGAAAACCGTATTCCATGCTCAGAAACAGGGGTAAATTCTTTACTGTCTCGTCCAAGAGCAGAGAGTAGAGGGAGGCTCAGGGCTTCGGAGTCTGACCACTGTGGAGTCATCTCAGCGGCCTTCAGCATCCTCAGGAACTCACCGAACCTTAGCTTCCTCACCAATAAAGAGGACCCACTTGCAAGGTCTCCGTAAAGCCTACATAAGGTGCAGCTGAGAGACTCAGTCAAAATGCCACTCTACACTTCCTGATCTCCCTGCAACATCTGACACTGTTGACTGACCTCTTCTTCTAGCCATACGGATATGCTTGGCTCCATGACACCTCACTCATTGGTTTGCCATTCCTTCTCTATGTATTCTGCAGTGATTCACTCATTCATTTTGTTTTTGTTTTTTGAAAAGGGTCTTGCCACGTATTCTGGGCTTAGTCACAAACTCACTCTGTAGCCCAGACTGGCCTCAAACTCTCAGGGATCCTCCTGCCTCAGTCTCCTGAGTGCTGGGATGACAGTCATATGAATGAGCCCGGCTCATTCATTCATTTATTTATGGACTGCTGGGGACTGAATTCAGGGTCTCATGCTTGCGGGGCCAGTGCTCTATCACCAAGCCACACCCCAGCCCCGGCAGCAGTCCTTTCATTACTAGTCCTCCCTAAAGTTCCGTCTTTACCCTTGTTCATGTCTTCCCAACAATACCCACTCACTGATTAGATAACAGGTACTGAGGAACATACTGTCCTAAGGACTTTTCAAAGGCTAAACCATCTAATCTTCAAAAAGCCCAACCAGCCAGGCACCGTCACTGCTCCTATTTCATGACTGAGGAAATGGGCTCAGGGAGATGAAGCACCTTGACCAAGACCACAGAGCTGGCGGTGGTGGCCGTAGAATTATGACACTATGAACACTTGCCCATTTGCTAAGCTGGCTCCTTCTATTTTCCTTAGTTGTAAGATCTCTCAACACTTGCCGGCTGGCCCTCGCTAAGTTGCAATTGGCCCTCTGGTTCATCTCGGCAGGTCTGCTTCTCTCACTGGTTACCACCTGAGCTTGTAGGTATCAGCTGTCTGCCAACAAATCCCCAGTTTTCTCTCCAACACCACACCTTCTCCCGATCCCCATGTCCCCGTATCCACGTAGCTGGTGGGTACCCGGTTCGGCAAATGGCACCACCACCCACCCCCATGTGGCACCCAGAGTCACAGCAGACTCCTCT